GGGTTTTTTTGTGTACAGATTTCTTATGGTTTTGTACATATATGTGATTTGCTAAGCACGACAGTGTTGCCTCTTCGTTTCATCTTGTTTTCTCTCTTTATCTTGAGCTATGGCACTGGCTATAATAGAAATGGTGACAGTGAGTATCCCCAGCTTGTTCCCAATTTCAGGGCAAGAGCTCCAATATTTCACAATTAAGTATGATATTAGTTGTTGGTTTTCAGTTGTTGGTTTTTTTTTTTTTAAAGAGCCACTCCTTTAATACAGAATCTTCGTTTAAAAAACAACCAACCTAGCCCTGTACAGCTGCCCTTTTGATTGGGGGGACCACTGTGGGGTCTCCGCCTCTCTGAGAGGCGGCAGATGCTCCTGGCCACTCATTTAACTAACTGTCCCCTGGATGGGGCCCAGATGGGAGGGCCCCCCTCCCCAGTGGGGACCCACCTTCCAGGGGACATCCGTGCATGTTTACGCCTTTTCTGATTGTGTCAGTGGCCGCGGCATGGCAACTGGGCGTCAATAAACGTCTCTGCGGAAGCTGGGGGGCTTGTGTGTGTTGGCATCGGGCGAGTGTACATCATCAGATTGAGGAAATTCCCTTCATTCCTCATTTGGTGAGAATTTTTATCATGGAGGGGTATGGAGTTTCATCAAGCATTTTCATGCATCTATTGAAATGATGACATCATTTCCCCCTCTGCTATGTTAATATGGTGAACCACACTGATTTTTAAGCGTGTAATACAAGTATTTAAACATACAAAGTGAAATAATTCAAATTTCTCTTGTGCTTTTTTGTCCCACATGTTCTTTGGAGGTATGTCATTTAAGAGCCAGATATCTACAGATAACAATTTCTTTTTTTTTTAAGTAGATTCTGCACCCAATGTGAGGCTTGAACTCATGACCCTGAGATCAAGAGTCACATGCTCTATTGAGTGAATCAGATACCCCCAAATATCAATTTCTACTATAATACTTATTTTTAAGACTTTATACAATTGCAGTCTTCTGAAATGTATTGAGACTTATTTTAACAACACAGCATATGATCTACCTTGGTGAATGTTCTGTGCATACTTAATAGTTTATTCTGCAGTTGTCGGGTGTAGGTTTTAAGTAAATGTCAAGTAGTTCAGACATGTCAGACGCTTCTGATTACTAATTATCTAAATAATTCAGCAGTTCAATAATTATCTAAGTAATTCAAAACTGGGGCTCCTGGGTGGCTCAGTCAGTAAAGCATCTGACTTCTGATCGCAGCTCAAGTCTTGATCTCAGGGTTATGAGTTCAAGCCCCACATTAGGCTGCACACTGAGCAGATGCTTACTTTAAAAAAAATAATTCGGGACACCTGGGTGGCTCAGCGGTTGGGCGTCTGCCTTTGGCTCGGGGCGTGATCCCGGATTCCGGGGTTCGAGTCCTCCATCGGGCCCCTTGCACGGAGCCTGCTTCTCCCTCTGCCTGTGTCTCTGCCTCTCTCTCTCTGTGTGTCTCTCATGGATGAATAAATAAAATCTTTTTAAAAATAAATAATAATAATAATTCAACAACTAGTGTAGAAAAACTTTGAAAGGTAGTCCAGATTTAGAGTTGACCCTATTTGTGGGGTTCCGATGTGTCCGGATATTTATATTGAGCCCTGTCACCTGTGGATTTCGTTTCATGTCATAAATGAAATTCAAAACCAAAAAAGTTACTCTTGGTGTATTAGATTCATTTCAACACAGTGTACCATTACCCAAACTTTTAATACAAGTAATACAAGTCCAAAACTAGGAATTCAAAGGAAATATGTGCATATGATAATAATCTTGCTCACAAGTCTATTTTGGTTTTGGGTTGTCTTTGTGATACCTTTTTATAGATAGCTCAATATTACTTATGGGGAAAATGTCCAAGAATACTGCTTTATTTCAAAATACAGAAATTTTATGTATTAAGAGCTGGGTTAATAGAAAAGAATATTAGGTTAGCACTCATTGCTTCATACTACCTTCATACATTAAGCCTTGGACATAGACAAGGGTGTGTGTGTGTGTGTGTGTGTGTGTGTGGTGTGTGCACACGCATGCGTAGCCGAAAGCTACCCTAAGGAAATAACGTGCTCTTAGAACTGGCTGAAAACACACTGGTAAAGCATTCTGAGACATTAAGGCTGGTACCTTAAAAGCCTATCATCAGTATTCAGTTCTGAAGGATCTCTTATAAGACACCACCATATCTGACACTCTCTTCCATAACTATCAGCCTTGTAGGGAAAAGTTTAACATGTTTTAAAAATCTTTCTTCATTAATTTAAAACTATTAAAGGAAAAAAATTCAATCCTAGCAAACATAATAGGCTTGCAGTTCTATTTCTAAGCGCCGAGAGGTTCTTACCCCATGCCAATTGCATCCTTGGTGGAGCTTTAAAAATTTTAGCCTTTAAACAAAGAGTATACAGTCTGTTCATATTATACCTGTAACTTTAGCATTCCGAAACCTATAGTCACCAATTAAAATCTGCGAAGTGTTCCCTGGAATCAGACCTTCTTTTCTTCTGTTTAGATTTTTCACCAACCTAAATAATAAATGAATTAGTAGCCAACAATGGTAATATAAGATTATAAAAACAAATACACTGCATTGCAGTTCAAAATTTCACAAAGCTATCCCATGTATTCAACGACCTTCATGACATTGTGCTTGAGTCCTTTGAGTAACCTACAAAGGACTTAGGTTACTAGCAAAAATGGTTATTACTTTAATGATCCGTCATTACTTTTCACCCTATGTGTACTCTTTCACCCTTTGGGTCAAAGTACACAGTCACTGTAGCACTTCACTTAAAGTTATTGACACAATGAAGACAGAATTATTTCATATAAAAATTCCAAAAGATTTATGGAAGCTTTATTCAGTCCTCTTCCCAACAATATTTCCTTCCTGCTTTGGGTCCTCTATAATTACGTAGTATATTTGGCAGAACCATCTTTGCAATTGGTGCTGCATGAAGTCAAATGCACAAGAATAGAATGGTAAGACTAAAATGTCAATATTTGAATTGATAAAGAGAAGGGTGGCTATGTTATAAAGTAGCAAAGCATGGTTCCTGGCACATAGTAGGCATTCGTTAAAAATGTGATGAATTAATGAATGACTTAAATGATCAAATGTAGTATGATCTGTAGCCATTACAAAGCCAGATCTATTCGCCGAAATGTCTGAGCCAAAGGTAAACCACAAGAGCATGCAGACCCATAGCATTTCATTCTTTCAAAGCATTTTTCACTCACCAAAGGTTAACATCCTTTCAGTGAGCTATATAGGCATAGCTGAAGCAATGAAAATGAAACATTGATAAGAAATGTGATATTTCTGCTTCTTGAGACTGTATAACAAAGATACAAGTAAAGCAGAACATTTGATTAGATATCCACGTGCCCCCGGCGGAGGTCAGCATAAGCACTGAGAACACACCTACCATTGACCTTCAGCATCTTCATGGAGAAACTGAATGACATCTCCATTTCTAATCAGGAGGTCTTCTGGGCCTCTCTTCCTACAATCTGCTAGGGCTTTGTATTTGCCTGGAGACTGTAAGGTTGTTTTGAAAAATGACATTACAAATTTGATCGTAAAACAACTTGCATAACTGCATGCTCTGTGACATGAAGAATTTACTCTTGACTTCAACGGTAATAGTGGTGGCTATAGCAGCTTAGGGGAGAACAAGCAAACACGGAGCAGTTTGTGACAGGGGAAAAAACCAGAACAGGTGTTTATCTAACCTGAAGAATTCATTTTTATTTGTAAAAAGAGAATTACACAAAAAATGACAGAGCACGACTAATCTAACTTATATGAATTATACGCATAAACCCAGAAAAAATCCAGTATGAAAATAATTTTTAAATACTCTTATTTGTAAACTGCTCTCATGGAAAATTTATCTAGGCACATATCAAAGGCAGGGCCCTAAAACAAAGACCGAGTAATGCCCTCAAAAGGATTTCTGGGATTTGTATCATTTTGCACAGGTAAAAATAATAAACACAAAAGCTTTGCAATGAAGTGCAATCAGAGAAGAAATAATAATGTTCAAATCCAAAAACATATTTTCAAAGATTTTATGTTTTTTTGATCTTTTTAAAATTAAAGTTAAATTAAAAAAATGTTTTTCAAATCCTTGTGTCGAGGGCTGACTTTGAATAGACTGCAGCGAGGGAGATGCTCTGCTAGGTATGAAACCCCTGACCCAGAAGCAGGTCCTCTACCCATGGTTAGCACCAAGTTCCCCACCAACATGTGTTGCCCGACCTGCGAGGGGGCTGCCCCCTTGCCACTCCCCCCTTTACCAGGATGAGGGGCTCTCCACAGGGGACTGGACCGGTCCTCATGCGAAGTGGGGCACTTCATGCCAGGCAGGTCGCACCTGCAGCCAGACCACCAGCTAGACTGCAAGACCAGTCACGTGAGGCCAGCCCAGGCCAGCAGAGGCACTGCAGCGCTTCTGTATCCTTCCTCTTGGGCGGGATTCTTAACATTTTATTTTTAAGTGATCTCTACACCCAACATGGGGCTAGAACTTACACCCCTGAGATCAAGAGCCGCATGTTCCACCAGCCGTGCCAGCCAGGTGCCCCAAGTCCAAAAGTATTCTGAGATGAGGGGGGTTTTTTTGTTTTTTTGTTTTTGTTTTTGTTTTTTTTTAGCACAGTATCTTACGCATTAAATACATGAGTTTAAAAAGAGTACCATAGCTGGGCACTGAGGAGAGCACCTGATGGGGTGAGCACTGGGTGTTATATTGTATGTTGGCAAATTGAATTTAAATTTAAAAATGTAATATAAAATAAAGAGTACCATAACTAAAAATATTTTAAAAGAATTACGTAACGTCGATTCCGTGCACATGCAAAGGAATTAATCTGAAAACAATATGCACATCACTTGGGCTTAAAGGTCTTTTGAACAGTACTTGTATGAAATGGGCTGAGGAGCAGGCTGGGAAGAGCTACTTGCCATTTAACTTCGCAGCTTCATCAAATTAGGAGAGCCATCTCTGACACAGGACTCTCCAAGGAAGGCAGCACCCACTCTTTCTTAGTTTTTGACTTGATAAAAGTGAGGCTAAAAGAGCAGCTCATTCCAACCTGTTTTGCTTTTTTGTTTTGGGGGTACCCTGGGGGGTGGTAGGGGTGGTAGTATATAGAACGCACTGTGTTGCTTTTTTTTTAAGACTTTATTTATTGCTGAATGAAGTAAGTCAATCGGAGAAGGACAAACAGTGTATGTTCTCATTCATTTGGGGAATATAAATAATAGTGAAAGGGAATATAAGGGAAGGGAGAAGAAATGTGTGGGAAATATCAGAAAGCGAGACAGAACATAAAGACTCCTAACTCTGGGAAATGAACTAGGGGTGGTGGAAGGGGAGGAGGGTGGGGGGTGGGGGTGAGTGGGTGACGGGCACTGAGGGGGACACTTGACGGGATGAGCACTGGGTGTTAATTCTGTATGTTGGTAAATTGAACACCAATAAAAAATTAATTTATAAAAAAAAGACTTTATTCATGAGAGACAGAGAGAGAGACAGAGAGAGAGAGAGAGAGAGAGAGAGAGAGAGAGAGGCAGAGACACAGGCAGGGGGAGAAGCAGGCTCCATGCAGGGAGCCTGACGTGGGCCTCGATCCCAGGTCTCCAGGATCACACCCTGGACCAAAGGCAGATGCTCACCCGGGTGTTGCTCCTCTGTATGTTTTCTTTAGCAGCACAAGTCAGGGAATGATTGTGAGAGGAGAGAGTTTATGGGGTTTTCCACATTCCCATCCCCTATGATTAAAGCCATCAGTTCTGCATATTTGCATTATTTTCTGACACCATAGCTGGGAAAATGCTTACTTAAGACCTTGCAGAAAACATTTAAACCCAAACTGGCTTCCTCTGATTTTTTTTTTTTTTTTGGCTCACATCCGAACAACTACCTCTCCCATCCTCAGATAATATTCATTAAAGACACTGCCAAATACGTATCACGGTCACTGTATTATTAAGAGAAAGAATATTCTGTTACTTTTTAAAAAGAAGCATTCCAGAATGGATGCTACATGCCATCACTCCCTAACGCCAACATCAGAGCTGCCAAACTGAATTTGTTCCGCTGAAGGGCACCAAAGAGCATTCCCTTGCAAAGCAGCATTCCCACCCTCCAAGCTGCCGACTTCAAAAAATTGTAGATATTCCCTAAGAATCTACTGGGCTCCTAACCACACTGCACACGATTTCTTCTGTAAGTTACTTTTACTCTAAAGCAAACCCCTTTAGTCGTATGGGGTGCTCCCTTGCTCTGTTCTGCCGATTTGGTGTCATTAACACATGTTCTGGAAGCCCACGAAAATACATTTCCCAGACGTGATCCAATAGTTTCATACCTGTAAAGTTTATTCCCTAGCTTTTCCCATCTGGAATCTAAACTGATTCTTAAAGTATATCTGACTCTCCTTTGTTCTCTGACTTTAACTCCTATGCTTAGATTGGAAACACAGTGGTGAAGTTGAACTAAAGATCAAACTGGTCGATGTGTGGAGAGACTTGGCATGATGGACCATTTGTCTCCACTTCGGGAGGAGCACCATGTATAGACAGCTCAAACCAGTTCTACCTACAGAGAGAAGTGGTAAGACTGGTTTCAAATCTTTTGACTATGAAATCTACCTAATGATCTCAAGGGTATGGACAGAAGATTGCCCCCGCGTGCCTCCCTACTGTGTCCATAATATGACCCTAAGAGTTCTTATTTACTTATTTGAACTCGCCATTACTAACCATTAGGGGCCTCTCTTCTTCTTCATTGTCATCATAAGAAGCATAGAAATAGCTGCTGGGCCATTCCTCGGGGTCTTCAGAGATCTCTGCAGGTGATGACATCTGTGCCCAGACTATAAGAAAAACATGGAGCAGGGCAGTTACTTAATGGTGCTGGTCCAGCCCAGGGAGAGAAGTAAAACTAACTGTTAATAATCAAGGCTGGAACCATCAATGGTCCAAGAACAGTATCTTTATACAATAAAACCTCTGACTAGCCTGTACTAGTTTAGAATTTCTGATATTTCAGAAAGGGCCCAGAATGTCATATACCCTTTTTACTTTTTAGAATGGTTTCAGGTTGGAGTTGATGGGACAGTTATTAAAAATAGTAAGTTAAATAATGTTCCAGGGAATATTTACCCTTTCTTTTTTTTAAATGATTTTATTTATTTATTTATTTATTTATTCATGAGAGACAGATTGAGAGAGAGGCAGAGCCACAGGCAGAGGGAGAAGCAGGCTCCTCTCAGGGAGCCCCATGCGGGACTCGATCCTGGGACCCCGGGATCATGCCCCAAGCTGAAGGCAGCGCTAAACCACTGAGCTACCCAGGTGCCCCTATTTACCCTTTCTTAAAGAAAATAATTCCTTCCCCAAAAATTTTTCAAGGGCATTTTTATTACTCAAATAGCAGATAATATTATTTTTGACTTGTCTTAACTCTCTTATTAGGCAGAGACCATGTGTTATGCTTTGTATGTCCTCTAAGAGCCTAATGCATAACAGGTGCTTAATTCATAAAATATATTGAATTGATAGAGATTAAGCAGTCTAACATAAGCAGAGAATTAACAGACTCTCATCTTGGCCACACTAAGTTATTCGGGTTATCTTCAAAAGTCATGTCAACTTTCCCTGACTTGGTTTCCTCATCTGTCAAATGAAGACATTGGTACTGGGCTCTCTCCTGACCGCTCAGGAGGCCACAGCATAGGTGACCCGAGGGAAGTGGATTTCAGCTGAACAAGATTGTCATTACTTGTTTCTCTTCCACTAGTAGAGAAGTATGGACCGTCTTATCTAAGTATCGAGTATCAGGCATCTGTTGAGCATTTCTGGTATGCATTTCTCTAGGAAAGTCTGTGCTGTTTACCCAGAGCTGTTTAGGTGCTTCTACAGCACCTTGCACTTCTCTGTTATAACACTTACCATATTTAATTTTAATCGCTTGTTGAATTATCCTTCTACCCTCCTGGCTTCATATGGATGGCAGCTGAGTGTATCTTAATTACACTGTATGCCCAAAGCTTTGCACAATTCTGGGCACACAGGCCATGATATATTTGCTGACTTAAACAACTTGTTTGAAATCAGTTTAAATGAGATAATTTGCAAAAGAAAAATAAATATTCCAGCTGTAAATGACTCTTCTCTATGCATTACAGCTATGGCATATGTGTTTTATTCATCTCTGTACTATGTAGAAGGAGTTCCCACACTTGAGCATGCATCAGAAAGAATCACTTGGAAAACATGTGAAATAAAAAATGGCTGGGTCTCACTCCCAGAGGTTTTTGTTTTTGTTTTAAGATTTTTCATTTGTTCGTTTGAGAGAAAGAGCACATGAGCAGGGGGTAGGGGCAGAGGGAGAAGCAGACTCCCCACTAAGTGGTGAGCCCACTGCAGGGCTCGATCCCAGAATCCTGGCATCATGACCTGAGCCAAAGGCAGATGCTCAACTGACTGAGCCACCCAGGTGTCCTCCTCCCCGAGTTTCTGACTCAGAAGGTCTGGGGCAGACACAGAGAATCTGCCTTCCTTAAAAGTTCCCATGTGATGCTGATGCTACTCGCCCAGGTACTGCTTTGACAACCAGCCACCTGCAGTACCCACCAGAATATCTTGCATATGCATCAGGGAAATACAAATCAAAACCACAAGGAGATACCACCTCACACCAGTGAGAATGGGGAAAATTAACAAGACAGGAAACAACAAATGTTGGAGAGGATGTGGAAAAAGGGGAACCCTCTTGCACTGTTGGTGGGAATGTGAACTGGTGCAGCCACTCTGGAAAACTGTGTGGAGATTCCTCAGAGTTAAAAATAGACCTGCCCTACAACCCAGCAATTGCACTGCTGGGGATTTACCCCAAAGATACAGATGCAGTGAAACGCCGGGACACCTGCACCCCGATGTTTATAGCAGCAATGTCCACAATAGCCAAACTGTGGAAGGAGCCTCAGTGTCCATCGAAAGATGAATGGATAAAGAAGCTGTGGTCTATGTATACAATGGAATATTCCTCAGCCATTAGAAACGACAAATACCCACCATTTGCTTCGACGTGGATGGAACTGGAGGGTATTCTGCTGAGTGAAGTAAGTCAATCGGAGAAGGACAAACATTATATGGTCTCATTCATTTGGGGAATATAAAAAATAGTGAAAGGGAATAAAGGGGAAAGGAGAAAAAAATGAGTGGGAAATATCAGAAAGGGAGACAGAACATGAGAGACTCCTAACTCTGGGAAACGAACTAGGGGTGGTGGAAGGGGAGGAGGGCGGGGGGTGGGGGTGACTGGGTGACGGGCACTGAGGGGGGCACTTGACGGGATGAGCACTGGGTGTTATTCTGTATGTTGGCAAATTGAACACCAATAAAAAATAAATTTATTAAAAAAAATAAAAATAAAAAATAAAAAATAAAATTTAAAAAAAGAATATCTTGCATATGGAAAACAAAAGTGCCTTATAAAAATGGGTTAACTCTGTTTTCTTTATACGAAGGTAATAGACAGGTAGATTTTCCAAGTTAACAGTGGGAGAAAACAATGTGCACAGCCACGAGTCTCACGTCCCTAGGACCGTTATGCATACCTGTATTGGCTTCAGCCTGAACCGATGCAATTGCCTCCCGGACCTCCACCATAGTGCCACTGTGTTCCGATTCAGTTTCCTCGGCACCCATAAAAGATCCGTGCTGCCTCCTGAAACAGTAAATGTGTAAAAATAAGTGAGTTTTTATCCAGTTTAAGAATAACAAAAAATTAAAAATGGCATTTTTCCACTGATTACCGTGGTTAAGAACATGCTCTGAGAATCATTCAAACAGAGCTGATTTCCCCCTTAAGTCTGTAGAATGATAGTTCATGATATAACAAAAGCTTAAATTCTAGGATCCAAGCCAGCAAGGTCTCTTTTTAATATGCAAGGAGAAAATTACTGCCTTCTGGACCCACAGCAGGTATATTGTTTAAAATTCCTATTGTGTGCTGTATTATATACTTGAAATTTGCTAAGAGGTAGATCTTAAGTGTTCTCACCACACACAACACACACAAAAGGATGGTTGGGATTAATAACTCACAATGCATACACAGATCAAATCAAGTTTTACTCTTTAAATATCTACAAATTTGGGGACGCCTGGGTAGCTCAGTGGTTGAGCGTCTGCCTTCAGCTCAGGACGTGATCCCGGGATCCAGGATCGAGTCCCATATCAGGCTGCTTGCAGAAAGCCTGCTTCTTCCTCTGCCTGTGTCTCTGCCTCTCTCTCTGTGTGTATCTCTCATGAATAAATAAATAAAATCTTTAAAAATAAATAAATATCCATGAATTTTAAGCATCAACTGTAATTCCATACAGTTGGAAAAATGTAAACAAAAAAATCCCATAAAAAGAGGAATTTATTGGTTCATGCAACAGAGTCTAAGGACTAATTCTGAATACGTACAGATCCAGGTGCTTAAGTGACGTCATCAGGAATCTATTTCAGCATTGCTTTTCCACTGTGTTCATTCCCGTTCCCTGCTGCCCTGTTTCCCCCAGTCACGTGTGTAAGGAGAAGTGGCCCTAGTAAACCTAAGCTCATAGGCTTAATAGAACTTTTAATTTCAAAGGAAAAAAAATATTGGAAAAAAAAAACTTTTATGGGAGCTATTCCTTCCCAATAGCTCCCATAAAAGTTCTGGCGATGGCCATCACGGCCTCTGTTGGTCTCCCATGTCCGTCCCTGAACTAGGAGAATATCCATACCTCCTCTCTGATTGTCATCTGAGCCATATGGGCTGAATAGAACAGAGGAGGTTCTTGAAGGGAAAGTCAGAAAACTATTTTAAAAATCCCTGCTGCTTGCCATATGATCTTTTAACCTCAGTGAATTAGGTAAGGTGTATATAAATGATACTGAAATTTTAATTTGATTAATACTATTGGGTTGTATCATCTACTATAAAGTCAATTACTATAGGAAATCTAAAGACTTTCTTTCCATAATCTATCACAAAAGATTGAGTATTGTGACTCTGGAAGATAAAGACTTCCACTGGGACTTTTAAATGATTTTCCTAAAGCCCCAGATGAACCAGCACTTTGATCTTGATTTTTAGCTACCTCTAAAAGATAATATGCAACAAAGAGAAAAAGAGTATTTTTATTATATTTTAAATTTTATAAAAGATTATATTTATCTATTTCAGAGAGAAAGCAAGCATGAGCTGAAGGGACGAGCAGAGGAAGAGGGAGAAGCAGACTCTCCACTAAGCAGGGGGCTCGACTCAGGGCTCGATCCCAGGACCCTGGGATCATGACCTGAGCCAAAGGCAGACACTTAACTGACTGAACCAGCCAGACATCCCTTTATTTAAAAATTTTTTTTTAAAGAATATTTTGGGGGGCACCTGGGTGACTCAGTTGGTTAAGTATCCAACTCTTGATTCTGGCTCAGGTCACGACCTCAGTGTCATGAGATTGAGCCCCGTGCCGCTCACTACAGAGTTAGCTTAAGACTTTCTCCCTCTTTTACCCTATCCCTCCCCTTTCCCTCTCTCCCTCCCTCCTTCTCAGAAAAAAACATATTTAATTATTTTTAATAAACCATTCAATGATCCTTGTATCGTGCAGATGACACTATATGGTGAATTTCTGTGCAAAGGCTTTGGAATCAGTGTGGGGATTCTTTCTGCATATATGCACGTGTTCTATGGGCAGCTCTGCCTTTTAGGATTCCTAGAGGCAAATATGAAGACATCTCCAAACCAGCAGCAGTGCCTCCATTTGGGACTGCTACCTTCCTCAAAGACTTCATGGTTGTATGTAGGCACAGTTCCCTCCCCAGACCCATACCTCCTCTCTGATCCATACATAGAAAGAGAAGCCAAGTTGCCAGCCAGCTGTCTCCATCTAGGGACTATGGAGCTGTGGGCCAGCAGTGCCTGCCAGTCCTTCATCATTCTTACAACTCTCTTTCTCCAATCAGATTGAAGGTGACCAAAAATATTTTGAAGAGAAAACCAGGAGTGCAGCCACTTTTCACCTACACACCACTCCCCCTCAGAATATACCGAGAACAAAGCATTTGTAATCATGCTTAAAAATTAGCCCAAACTCTCATATTATTTTTAACATCAAGGAGAACAATGGGATAACTGTTGAGGACTCCAACACTTGTCAGGCTCCAAGTGTAAGGATAGAGCTGAGAAGATGATGTGTTTAAGGAATTTGATGAGTAATTGCTAAAAGGGAGGGTAGTTTCTGTCTCTGAAATACTTGATCATGACACTGTCTCCTGTACATACAAAACCCAGAAGATTGCAGGAGTGATATTTCTTCGAGAATAATCACTTACTCATCATTCCGCTGAGAAGAAAGCTGATCCTGTTCCGTTAAGGGATTATGCTGCTTTCGTTTTTTAACTGTGGATTAAAACAAAGCTTATGGAAGCATCATTGAGAAGCCACACTTCTCCCTTGGAAACCAATGTCCTTCACACATGCAAGTGCCCCCCCCACACACACACACACACACATACACACCATTCCCATGAGAGTTAACCTTCAAACGTGTGAGGTAACCAGAGGAAAGGCTGGTCTGGATTTAAAATATGGAAAAGGACTGAAGTATGTAATATTTTATCCAGAAATTCAAGTTTATAACTATAAACATCATCATTCCAACACCACCAAGCAGTGACGCCTTGAGGTCTTTGGTAGAGTTGACTCCTGAGAAGGGTTCAGAATTAATTTAATGCAGTTCGTTTGCTATAGTACTTTGCAACTGCTTCTCAAGTACCAGAGTTCACTTTCTAGTGTAAAGTTCATTCTCCAAAAGAGTTTAAACAACCCCCTGAATATTGACTTTCTACTAATTAGTTTAACAAACCCTTTCGTTATAGTCTAAAGTAAATATCAGCCCCATTCCCTGTACCAACTATCACAAAACCTAAGTCAATGATCTGTCACTGTACTTATTCTAAAATTACCTGTCATAAGTTCCTGTTGCTTCAACAAAATACTTCTTATTTCTTTTAACCATGTCATCTTCACATCTACGTTCGGAGCCTAAGGATGTTTGAAAGGGGGGAGGGGGAGACATGTTTCCTTTGAAAAAGAACCCTTTCTAATGAAACAAATGTAACTATATATATCAAGCATGATCCACATCCTAAACCACTATATTCAAACTGTACCATTTTGCTTCTGAAAACTTCTAAGAAGCAAGTTAAGTAGCTATCAGTGAGATGACGTAAGAGTCAAAACCAAAAAAAAAAAACAAAACAAAACAAAACAAAAAGTCAAAACCATTTTGAACCCTTAAAAAACAATGCTCAGAGAAAAACTGAAACATAACCTAACTTCGTTTTCCTTTGTAGGAGGGTCCTTTTATTTATTTATGTATTTATTTAATTTGGTGGGTCCTTTTTATAAAACTATAAATGCTTTTTATAAAACTATAAATGCTTTTATGTTTTATAAAACTATAAATGCTTTTATGTTTAATTTCGGTAAAATAAAACAAGTTCTGTTTCGGAAAAGACAATCTGCTATAATCTTGATAACTTACAAGTTTGTAGAAGGATAGCAAGAAGTCCTACATCTAAATCAAGCCAAGAAAATATATTTTTATGGATTCTAATCACCTAATGCAGAATTACAACAAAGAAAAAACACAGAGTACTCTGGACGTTCACATTGTCACAAGTCATGATACAAATACAAATTTTCTCATTCCTCTCCTCTTCTCTGAAACAGGTTGGGCCCTTATAGCACATCAAGCCAGAGCTTTAAGCATATTCTAATTTTGATCTTTTTCATAAGATTAAGTGTGCTGTTAAGCCTATTTTTCAGAGACAATGATCAAATGTGAACTGTCACATCCCTGTGTCTCACAATCAGAATGCCAAGTGCAAGAGGCACTCAGAACCATTATAAACCTGTAACTCCAGAAACTTGATGGGGACAGAGATGCACCTGGCATGTTCTTGGCTACTAGCTAGAGTTGGTAAGTATCCTGGTGTGGTTGTAAAAATTCAAAGCCCTAGAAAGCCCCAACGGCACATCTCAAGTTAGAGAAACCACATACAACTGAAAACTGAATACCTGTGTCACAAAAATATCAAATAATATTTAAGTGTCCTGCAGGAAAGGAGTGAGAACTTTTATAATAATGTAACCAAAATTATGCATGTTTGCAAAACTTAGACTTTCGTGTCTTAATGCACATTACGGTTTCTAAAATAATATTTCAATGGCAGGGACACCTAGGTGGCTCAGTGGTTGAGCGTCTGCCTTTGGCTCAGGGCGTGATCCTGGAGACCTGGGATCGAGTCCTGCATCGGGCTCCCTGCATGGAGCCTGCTTCTCCCTCTGCCTATGTCTCTGCCTCTCTCTGTGTGTTTCTCATGGATAAATAAATAAAATCTTTTAAAAAAATATTTCAATGACTAACCTGGACAATATAAACTTCTTCCTTGCCAGCATACCAGATTTCAAATTTGCGATTATCTCCTTTTACATATTCGGTGATGCCAACTTCATCCATCTGTAATAGGTCAACATTTTCATGAGCATTTTATTTGGAATATGCAATTACATTAAATCCACCCCTGTCATATTCTAAGTGAGCCAGAATTTCTCACTTGGCAAAATGCACATTTTAGATTCAAAGAATATGAAATTATAAATATAATCACAGACCTATTTAACTGTTTTCACTGAACCATGCACTTACAGTATAAGTTACATGCTCCATTCCAGTGATTGAAACATATGTTACAAATCTGAACATCCAGCTACTCCCCCTAAGATTGAATCCTGTTATAAATTAACTGCACGCTATTAAAACAAATTATCATGTCAGACACAGGACTAAAAGTAATTAGACACCAATAAAAAAGCGCATACAAAATTGAGTTAAATCACTGCTTTTAAAATTCATTTGTCAGATAAGTTTATCTTAGAGATCATTACTTATCTCTATAGAAGTTTTATAAGTGAGAAACATCCAATTTATGGGGTGGAGGGGAAACCAGTGGGGTACACAAGGCTCCCCTCTATTTCCACCAACCTCTCAGCTTCCCTAGAAAACAAATGATCTGACATAAGAGAGTGAGATTCTTGAAGCCAGTGAAATTTTTATATGCAATATCCCTTCCTTACCACGATTTTTCTTTTTTCTTTTTTTTTTTTTTTACGATTTTTCTTTTCCATATGATTATGCAGAACACAAACTCTTCCATTTGTGCTGTGCTGCTCATAGCTTGGTTAATTCCATTTTGAGCAATTTCCCTCCCTCAAACACACATTCTCTTTCAGTCCTCTCCTGCCTTGTCTTTTTGTTCAATTCCAGTCTAATTATCTAAAGGAATATCTCACTCTCTGTTCCATTTACAAGTCCCCCAAACGGCCCTAACTAGAGCCGATAAGCACTACAAGTACTGCTAGTGAGATCACATATCAAGGGAAAGAAAAGGGATTATGCTCAGAAATGAAATGAGATCTATACTCACAAGAATCTCTGACACCTACCCTGCATGTAGTCAGCAGTGACTTCCAGAATCTCCAAAAATATCTTCATATTCCTACTCACCCGCTCTAGCTAAACCTACTTTTGCTCAAGCATCAGGATTTAAGATAAATAATAATCTCATGTTCAATCTCTATTTCAACTGCATTTCAACACACACTTTTCCTTCAATACAGTAAGCTGGATGGCGTGTGGAGCTCGAGTCTGAGAGGCCTGGGAACTCCATCTCTGCCTATTAGGAGCTCTGTGTTCTGGTGCAAAGTGTTTAACCTTTCTGAACTGCATTTTTTTCAACTATAAAATGGGAAGAATATCTACTTCACAGAGTTGATTAAAGGACTAAATAGCTTGCATTAAATGCCTAGATCATATAATGAGTTTTTTCTAAGTATATGAGTTTGTTTTCTAAACTTTCCCTTATTTGAACCACAAAACAGTTTTGTGATTTTTTTCATTGCATACATATAGCACATCATTATAGATTAAATGAGCTTTTATGAGTTACCCTGGAAACCTAACCATGATGTCTATCAGACAATATTGTCCTGAGTTCCAAGCAACTCACACTTAGTTCTACTGGAATACAATCCATTTGTATTTTGTGGATGCATATATTTTCTCAAATAACAAACGATAAGGGTTTTACCGAAAGGCTTTTAAACATTATTAAATGTTACTATTCAATGAAATGTTTACTATATCATGAAATTCAGTTTTAAAAATATATATATTTTATTTATTTATTCATGAGAGACACAAAGAGAGAGAGAGGCAGAGACACAGGCAGAGGGAAAAGCAGGCTCCATGCAGCGAGCCCGATGTGGGACTCGATCCCAGGACCCCAGGATCACGCCCTGGGGCCGAAGGCAGGTGCTAAACTGCTGAGCCACCCAGGGATCCCCCTGAAATTCAGTTTTAGACTCTAGAGGCAGTTGAAGGTCTAACTATATGAATATAGTTATGTAATATAGTATATAATACATATTATATATAAGAAAATAACAAGGCTGATTCTATAGTCATATCCTAATGGTGGCCTCTGCCACATTTCACATTTTCATTCATATTTGTAGTAGCTATGAGTCTCAACGTGTCAAGGGTTGAGGACTCCAACTTTCAGTCTAATTTTTTGTCATCAAGGTAGTGTAAAGATGTCAAATGCCTTGTTAAAAGTCACCTGGTGACTCAACAACTCTGGGATTGTGACCAACAACTACCAATCTGAAGACTTTTATTTATATCTCTGGAATAGAGTCTACTTCCTTCTTGGGTCAGTATCATTTTAAAAATTGATCTTGAATCACACTAACAAAAAATATAGCTAAAGAAACTAAAGTGCTATGAAGCAGTTAGAAGCAAGATACTGGGTATAAACCAGTAATGTGGCTATATCTTAAAAACAGTTTCAGAGACAAGAATAGAAAGAAAAAAGAGGATTATATCAGCATATGATTTATGAAAATTGAACTAGATGGGCACACAGAACATGAATATACATTTAACAAAAACATACAAACTGAAGGATATACATCAAGTAAATTAGAATGGTTGTTACAGGGGTAAAGAGGAAATTAAGTGTGGAGAATAATGAAGGAAGGAAGGAATAAAAGAAGGAACAAATGAAACACAAGGCCTTCCAGCATGGCACAGTCATTAAGGGCATGGACTCTGGAACCATCTGCCTTGGTTTGGATCTGTGCTGCAGAGCATACTAGCTACATGCTCTTAGACAAATTACGCACTTCTCTGGAACTTGGCTTTCCCATCTTCAAAATGGGGTTAATAATAGTTCCTACTTCATATAAGGTTGCTATGCGGGTTAAATGAGTTGACATTGCTATTTATAAACCTAGGACAGTTTCTAGCAAACAGTAAGCACTATATGTATGTTTATTAAGTAAAAAAAAAAGATGATGATAATGCATGAACTGAGGAATGTGAAGAACTCAAATCTCTGCATCTGACTGTGACCTTCGGGCCTTTCCTTTGCATAAAAGTGGCTAACTTAAAATATAGCACACAATCATCAGGCCATGGGATTCTAACCTCATAGGATGAAGTCAAGACAACAGTCCAGTAAAAGTGACAGGGAAATGGCTCAGCGGTGGAAAGCATTCTGCATCCATCCTCTCAACCAAGGAGAAGACTCTGAAACCAGTAACCCCAATGCTCATGTCATACACTGGCTAGTATTGCTAGCCATGATTTAATCCTGGAATCTCACAGTAGGAAAGCAAGAGGGTCAGCAGAGTGAGGCTCAAGAAATAGCCAAATTTCCATCTTTCTCTGTTAGCAGGATCACCATTTTCCTGGTACCCTTGGTCTAAATCTTTGCAGGCATCACTGAATAATCTTTTTATTTAAAATGCTAGGCATGGGGCACCTGGGTAGCTCAGTCGGTTAAGCATCTGCCTTTGGCTCAGGTCATAATCTCAGGGTCCTGGGATCGAGTCCTGCGTCAGGCTCCCTGCTCAGTAGGGGGGGGTCTGCTTTGCCCCCCTCCCTCTGCTCTGCCCCTCACTCATGCTCTCTCTCTCAAATAAATATTTTTTTAATGCTAGGCATTATTGGGAAACCAAAGGAAAAAAATAAGACTGATCTTTGTTCCTTCAAATGTCAGGTATTGTTTCTTTCCTGTGTCTAATAAGTCACCAAGCCTGTCTGCCTACCTTCCACAGAAATGTTTCTTGCATCTATCCTACCGTTGCCACAGTAACCATTATAGTTTGAATTCTCATGACTTGGTCCCATCATACCAGTCCCTCTTTACTCTAATGTACTTTAGAAGCATTCTGTTGCCCATTATTGTGACAAATTAAAGGTAAAAAAAAAAATCAATACACACCAGAGATACTACATCAGGTATTGACTAGGTCACTCCACAAATAAAAAGTTAACCAAATGCATTTGGGTCCAACATGCCTGTGGAGACCAAGTCTCTTCCCCAGAAATAGATATATGGACAGCAAGCGATCTAAACCCCAGCTGAGGTCAGCTATACAATCGTGGTTCTCAGTCAATGCTTACTAGAGATATAAAAGACCAATGGAGATTTTGGGGATGTGGAGGTGGGTTGCTAAGAGCAAAGGAGCAACTGGGCATTTGTTGTAAAAACAGCAAGTTTTAAAAAAAAAAAAAAACAGCAAGTTTTAAGGAAACGTTGTGACAGCAGGGAAAGTTGGTAGTAGAGGAAGAAGTCCGAGACATAACTCTGGGCAGGAACTTTATTACAAACAGCATGGGACTGCTGACCTTCTGGGGAGAATTAAAAGCAGGGCCTGCTTATTTGGCAGACTCCTGACTCAAACACCTCAGAACACATTGCTTGTCCTCTTTATCACTGCTGCTGAAAACATTAGCAATCCTCAAATGGTTTGCTAACCTTTTTTTATGAAATGCTCATAAAAAATGACTCAAATGATAGTAGTTGGGGAATTAACATGCTAGTTTTCTCTATTCTCCGATTTTGCTATAACCAGTATTATACTGCTTTTACACTTTATTTTTTATTAAAGATTTTGTTTTTAAGTAATCTTTACACCCAATGTGGGGCTCAAACTCACAACCCCAAGATTGAGAGTCTCGTGCTCTACCGACCGAGTCAACCAGGTGCCCCCTGCTTTTACAACTTGAAACTTGAAAGGTAAAATTACCTAGGTGTAAAAACTAAAACTACCAAACTCACCAACTACAGACTTGTATGAACTGGAAGTTCCTCTTGTCAAATGTCAAAACCAGCTGGGAATATCACTGGACTGCCAGTGACTCCCGCAAACAATACTGACCTCATTGTAATACCAAGCTGTATTTAGGACAAGAGGACGGTTTGGTTATAGAAGAAAATGATTTCAAAGGACAGGATGGATGTGGGCAAGATTCTGCTGTAGGTGGCTTTGGACACTCAGGAGGGCAAGGGGTAAGGAATAAAGGAGGGATAGAAAAAGAAAGGTGGGAATATGCTAAGCACAAAAGTTACCCACTTAAAAAAAAAGTTACCCACTTTAAATTGCATTGGGGAAAAAGACCAAACTCTTTCCTCATCTCTCCTGTATAGTAAAGGCTCCCTGCTACCAAGACCATCAACTCTACCCAGTACCACTGGTAAAAGAGTACTCATGGGGTTATGGGTAACTTCCCATAACTTCAGACTGTGCTCTGCAGGACACTAGGAAGCTGCCTTGGGGACTGCTTGGTATTGGAATGAGAGAGGAAAGGAAGGAGGTAAAGCTCTGCCTTCCCTCACTCTTATTTCAAAGGTTATGTGTTGCCTGATTTCAATATAACACCTCTACTTAAGATTTCGGGCAGCCCTGGTGGCGCAGCAGTTTAGCGCTGCCTGCGGCCCAGAGCCTGATCCTGAAGACTCAGGGTAGAGTCCGGCATTGGGCTCCCTGCATGGAGCCTGCTTCTCCCTCTGCCTCTTTGTCTCTCTCTGGGTCTCTGTGAATAGATAAATAAATTCTTTAAATTAAAAAAAAAAGATTTTGTGGGCTGGAGGTGGATAAAGCAGGTGAAGGGGATTCCAGGGTACAAATTTCCAGTTATAAAATAAGTCCTGGAGATGTAATGTGCAGCATGGTGACTGTCACTAACAGTACTCTATTGCATATGTGAAAGCTGCTAAGAGAATAGATCTTAAAAGCTCTTATCACAAGGAAAAAAAACTGTAACTGGGTGTGGTGATGGATGTTAACTAGATTTACTGCAGTGATATATATTTTGCAATATATACAAATATCACAGCATAATGCTGGACACCTAAAATGAATACGATGTTGTATGTCAATGACACCTCAACAAAAAGATTTCATTTAAAAAAAGGGATGTGAAAAAAAATAAAAATAAATAAAAATAAAAATAAAAAAAGGGATGTGCAATCAAAGTATAAAACCCACTCATCTCACTTGAAAGGGTGTACCAACTTTTACATTATATATATGTGTGTGTGTGTGTGTGTAAAATAACAGTACATTACACAATTTAAATGATCTTACTTTCAAACAGTGCTTAAAACTGTATGACGGATATCTATCAGAGCCTTCTCCACTTTCAACACGCCTCTTACAGAAAACAATGGCTTTTTCGTACAGGAAGAGATGCCGCTGCATTGGTTTGAATCTAGCAAAATCCTTCATTTTTGTAGCACCTTTCTTGTGTCCAATCCAAACACTGAAAGCACCCTGCATTACCATCTTGCCCAGTTCATTTAAGTTTCCCTACAAAGGAAAATCGACAGTCATCAGTATAAGGCACAGCTACATTCAGACCCCTGACATCAACATTAGACTGGGTGGCTTGAGCTGCTAAAGCCCTGAAATGCAATTTGTACAGTTTCTAGAATTTTATTCATCAGAACTTTTTACATTAGAACAGGCCATGTGTCACACAGGCACAAAATTACGGCATGAGCAAGAGACAGGAGAGACCTCCTTTTCCATGGCTCCTGTCTTCCTGCGGAGGTCTTTCAACTAGGGTAGCTCCCCCTATCTTCTCAATCCTGCCTGGCGACTGGTGTCTCCCAGTGCAAGCATTACTTTACTCTAAAGACTTGATTTTTTTTCTTCTGAATTTGTCTCAGACTAAGGCAAGCAGCAATTCTAGGACAACACATCTCCTTAGAAGATCCAAACATTTCCTTCAAGCAGGAAATCCCAAGGTTGGAGTTGGGTGTAGGCTCATAAGGACAAGGGGAATATCACAAACTCATTCGGCTGCTGACCTCAAGCCAATTCTCCATTTAGCACTGTCAGTAATAATGCTGACATTTGGATCTCCATTTTCCTCTTTTTATTTCTCAATTGATTCCAGGAGACAAAGAAAGAAGATCTTGACATGCTTGCCCACAAAAACTGCAATGATCATTAAAATTTACTCACAATATAGCCATTTATTGCAATCTGATGCATAGAGTCATTAACCGACTTCAGTAAATCCAGCATTGTGTCAAGCGCTTCCTTTAATTGTTCAAACCCAGGGCAGCCTTTGCTATATTTCAGTAGCTCCTGTAATTACAAGTCAAGAATTAAAATTAATATCAGGCAGATATTAACAGCTGGAGAAAATGAATACATTTTTGGCTAACATGCTCTCAAGGAGGAATCCAAAGATAATGCCACTTCTCGAGTAGTATCTTTCATTTGCTATTTGTCACAGTAAGAAGACTCTATTTTAAAAACTGTGTCAATAAGCCTTAAAAAAAATGAAAAATAAAAAATAAAAAAATAAAAAAAAATAAAAACTGTGTCAAAAAATTTGGAAAGATTAAAAAAATTTTTTTTAATTGGGAAGAAATGGAATAAGGACTAACACTATCAGGTAAAGGGCACTCAGTGTTCTCGGAACTGCAGAAAAACAGCTATTAGGACACATGAGAGGTTGATTTTTAAGGTAGTCACACATGCAACAATTTGGTTTTCTCATTTTGCAGAGGCCACAGGACATTGTGCTGATACTTAACGTGACATTGTAGTAACCCTTTCACTGGACATGAGAGGTGTGCCACCTTCGGCTTTCATTGAAAGGGCACTTTTGGAAATATAGTCACAAACTCCAAGAAATATTTGTTTGGTTCTTCTTAACGATAGTAAGAGTTCCGCACTCATTACACATGCATCAATGTAACCTGAATCAGCACAGCAAGGCGAAGGAGCATAATACTGCCAGGTCCAGCCTTCCTGCTCACCTCCTACCTCCTCGCCAGCCGCTCCCTTTTTAATGGCTCTGCTACCTCTGACCCACAGAAGTAAGTAAAGAGAGAAACAAATGCTTCATGTAATTACCTTTAACAGTAATTGATATTTAGTGATTCGCTGCACGGGTTTGAGTAAATACGAATCCAGACCAAGTCTGTGCTTTAATTTTCTTTGACATTCCTGTCATTGAAATACAATTATCAATAAATTTAAGACATGTACCTGTGAAAATGGCAAGTGTTCACTGATTAGACCCAATACATGCAGGTTTCTTACAAATCAAGGAAAATCAACCAGGAAAACCGCTCTTCCATATGGCGTGGAAATTGTAAGCGGCCGTGAATATTAAAAAAAATTACTGTAAACATTATTTCAAGGGATTGGAGAGGTAGAAAGGGCAAAAATTTCAAATATGTTAAGTTTTTACATAAAAATGCACACTGATGAGGAAGGGTTAAAAGACAAGAAAACAATGAATGGCCAGAGATGAACATGAGTAACGAAACATGACTGCAAATCTAAGAAAATGAACAAAAGGTTCAGCTCTGCAGGCCGAGGCCCAGAAAAGAAACAGGTTGTACCTAATATAAATCAAAACTGGGCATGAGAAGGAGTTTTTTTTTTTAATATCACAAGAAAAATATAGACCTCACCAACCAATGCTATATTTCATCTGATTATGGGCTCACTGCCACGATAAATATAAGGGTCATGACTTTGGGTCCTGGGAACGTTCTAGGGTTCATAACAACAGCAAGATGGGGACGATTAGGATGAAATGTGCGTGTAAGAAATACAGAACACAAAGAGAATAGGAGAGGATGTACATGTGTAAGATCCAGGACCTGCCTCTGCCTAGGGGAGTAAAAACCACTATCCAATCTGATTCAAACAGAGGGGGCACCAGGATGGCCCAGTCAGTGGAGAATATGACTCTTGATCTCAGGGTTGTGAGTTTGAGCCCCACACTGGGGGTAAATATTCCTTTTAAAAATCAAATCTTTGGGGAATCCCTGGGTGGCACAGCGGTTTGGCGCTTGCCTTTGGCCCAGGGCGCGATCCTGGAGACACGGGATCGAATCCCACATCGGGCTCCCTGCATGGAGCCTGCTTCTCCCTCTGCCTGTGTCTCTGCCTCTCTCTCTCTCTCTCTCTGTGACTATCATAAATAAAAATTTAAAAAAATCAAATCTTTAAAGAAAATTCAAAAAGCAATGTGTGGTTAACGATTTTGGAGTGATACATGCATTTAGCTCTCCGTATTCATGAAACCTAACTATAAATGAGATTTAAAAGTTATTTTTGTAAGACAAAACTGAAAGTTACCAAGATGGGAGAGGAAAAACCATCAACCAAATATGAAAAGTGAAAACCAAACTGACAAGGGATAAACAACTGAGCACACCAGAGAAAAGTAAGTCTCAAGATGGCAGAGGGAAAAGCCAAGGAACAATTCAGTTTATATTATAGAATCGTGTCCCCCTCCTCTCCACAAAGACTCCAGAATGACAGACGTCAAGTACCTCTGAAAGTGGGAGATGAAGGTGGGTTTGAAAAAATATGGTTGTTTAAAGTCGGTCCAAGAGGTAGATACTGGGGTGGGGGTGGGGGGGCGCCCGGGTAGCTCGGTCAGTTAAGCATCTGCCTTCAGCTCAGGTCATGATTCGGGGGTCCTGGGATAGAGCCCCATTTGGGGCTCCCTGCTCCATGAGGAGCCTGCTTCTCCCTCCCACTCTGCCCCTATCTCCCACTCATGCTCCCTCCCTCTCTCTCTCAGATAAATAAATAAATCTTAAAAAAAAGAAGTAGATAACAGGGGCAGTGCGGGGAAGAAGTAAGTAGATACTAACAAGTGTTGGTGAGAGTGTAGAGCAATCAAGACACCCTCATTCACTACCAGCAGGAATGTAAAATGGTGCAGCAACTTTGGAAAACAATCTTACAGTTCTTCAGAAAGTTACAGAGAGTTACCAAATGACCCAGCAATCTCACACCCAGGTATGTGGCCAAGAGAAATGAAAACATATGTCCCAGAAAAACTTGTAGACAAGAGGTGGAAAAGAATCAAATTACCATCCATTATGAATGGGCAAATAGAACATCAAACACCCATACAATGGAATGAAAAATTGATCCACGCTACAACATGGATGAACTGTGAAAACATGATGCTAAGTGAAATCCACAAAACACAAAAGATCACATATTTTATGCGTCTATTTATATGAAAGTTCAGAACAGGCAAATCCAGAAAGATAGAAAGCTTATAATTGCAGAAGGCTGAAGGGGTTGGGGGCATATGGTAGATGATTACTAAAAGGTATGCATGGGGTTTTTTTGGAGTATGAAATCATTCTTAAATTGGCTGCAGTAATGGTTGCACAACATTGTGGACACAGTAAAACCACTTAACTGCACATTTGAAAAGGGCGAATTATATGGTATTTTAACTACATCTCAATAAAGCTGTTACAAAAAAATTAAATGGGCGTAAGAGTTTTTTTTTAAAAGAGAGAGAAAAAAGAAGGGAGAGAAAGAAGGCGCCTGGTGGCTCAGTTGGTGAAGCATGCAACTCTTGATTTTGACTCGGGTAATGATCTCAGGATTGTGGGATCAAGCCCCATAATGAGCTCCATGCTCAGTATGGAGTATGCTAGAGATTCCCTCCCTCTCTGTGCCTCCCCCGCCCCACTCACATGCTAAATAAATAGATAAATAAATAAATCTTTATAAAATGTTTACAATGGCATATTAAAAAAAAAGGAGAGAAAGCTCTCAAAAATCCACACTACTATGCACAACTAAGTGGCTGCCTCTCCCTCTGGATAGCAGAACAGATGTGTATCTAAAAAGAGTAAAACAGAAGGCCTTTCAACTAGGGAATACCAGATCCAGTTGAAGACAGAGTACCGTACTGAAAGCAAAGAGATTACTTGAATATTTATGTATCAAATTAAAGACTCTCACCCTTTTCCCCCAACTTGGCTACCAGAACATTGACAACCAGATCCTTATTCACCAGGTAGCAGACTGGGGAATCTGACCAGCCTGAGAAAGAATATCTAAAGATATAGATGTGGGGATTCCACCATGGAAACACCTTGACACAATCACTCAACAGTGAGAACCATGGTCAATTAATCCACAAGTGCACAAGATACTTCCAATGAACTTTTTATGCTAGTGCTTTCTCTTAAGATAAGTGGACAAACAAGTATCACTAGAAATTTGAGGAAAGTATCTAACATGAGTGACAGGAACAAAACAAAGAAAAAGAAAACACAAAACCAATCTAAAGACAACAGAAATCATGCAAGGAAAAAAACTATACTTAAAAGAAAAATCTATTATTATTACTCTCATATAAATAAGTGAAGATACTGAATTCATGAAACAAAAACAGGGATCTACTGAAAGGAACACGGAGAGAACAAAAAAGGGTACAGGCTCTTCAAATTGAAAAACTTAATGGTGGAAACAAAACCCTCATTAAAAGGACTGAAAGATGAATTCCAGAAAACGAACAGGACAAAAGCTAGAAAATAGGAAAGATAAGAGAATTAGAGGACTGGTCAAGGACATCGAACATCTCTACAATAAGAATTCCAGAAAGAGGGAATAGAAAAAATACTGGAGAAAATCAAAGAAAAAAATCCAACTAAATTTGGACAAGAGTTTCCAAATTCAAAGGGATCACCATAAGACTAACATAATAGATGAAAATAGTGCCAACGTCATGGCACAGCACTGAAATTTCAGAACCCTAAGGATAAAAATGTTCCCATAAGCTTTCAGAGAGAGGACAAGAATGGATTACACAAAGGATTAAAAATCAAAATGGCATCATATTTCTTAACAGCAACACTGGAAGCCAGAAGACAAATTCTGAGGAAAATAGTTTCTTATATAGAATTCTATACCCAGCCAAGCTAGCAATCAAGTGATAGGGTAGACTTTTGTACACATGGAAGTTCTCAAAACTTTTACCTATCAGGCACACTTTCTCAGCAGACCTACTGGAGAATATGTTCTATAAAATAAGTAAGTGAAATAAGGAAAAAAATATGACACCGAGGAAACAGGAGAGCCTATCCCAAAAGTTATATGCACAGGTTGACAGCTATACAACAGGTCTAGTGAGTCTCAATGAACAGATCAGAAAAATCCAAGAGAGATTAATTCAAATTAAAATTCAGAGAAAAGGGAGTATGTTTAATACACTAAGAAGAGATTTATGTAACTCTCATTACTAGGATAGTTTAGAGTACATTAGGGGAAAGTACCTAAAAAATTAAGTGAAGGGCGCCTGGATGGCTTAGGTGGTTAAGTACTCAACTCTGGATTTTAGCTCAGGTCATGATCATAAGGTTGTGAGATCCAGAGGTCCATGCTCAGTGCAGAGTCTGCTTCTCTCCCTCTGCCCCTCCCCCCACTCATGCACATGCTCTCTCTCAAAAGTCATTAAAAATAAATAAATTTTCTTAAAGATTTATTTATTTATGATAGACATAGAGAGAGAGAGAGAGGCAGAGACACAGGAGGAGGGAGAAGCAGGCTCCATGCCGGGAGCCCGGCGTGGGACTCGATCCCGGGACTCCAGGATCGCGCCCTGGGCCAAAGGCAGGCGCCAAACCGCTGAGCCACCCAGGATCCCCAATAAATAAAATTTTTAAAAATTAAAAATTAAGTGAGTAAAAATGATAATTACAAGAAAAACAAAAAGGATGGAAATGCAACCATCTTATATCACAGGATTCATCTGAGCATAGGAATTACATAGTCTTAATAATTTAACCTGTATATCTATACAACTAAACTTATAAACATACTGGATGTTTTGGAGGAAAAGGAGTATATGTATGTATCCAGTGGTGAGACAGGGGCAGTGAAGAGGGCTAAAACAGCAATATAAATATGTTATTTGGAAACACGGAGGTAAACAGCAAAGGAAGCCGCTAGCCTCTGTGAAGCAGCATATATATTTTTGTACATGTGCATATGTGTGCGCACATGTGTGTTTTGTGGCAGGGTCAAATTGTTCTCTGATCTGTATTATATAGAACTTAGAATAGAAAATGAATTTTTAAGAAATATCCCAGTATATTCTAGAAGGACTATATACAATACCTGAATATACTATACCTGGAAAAAGGCGCATTCTGAATACTTCTTCCAAATTGCCTCTGATCTGGGTTTATTCTGACAGTATTTTGCATACATCTGAAAATTGTCTTTCTGTGATAAAAAGCAAATTCAAATGTATTACCAATTTGTGAACATATACTTTTCTTACCAAGAAAGGCTGAGCAAAAAAAAAGAAAGAAAGAAAGGCTGAGCAAGAATGAGTGCAGCCAAGCATTATAGGGAATGTGGCCTAAAGGCACTGGCAGCTGGACAGGATCCCCCTTTGTATTCCAAGAAAAGCATGCCCACCAGACTGAGTAGAGGGGCACAAATTATCCCAGTAATTTCATAACTTTTACTTACTCAGTCTTAGAGAGAAAAGCCTTCTCTGACTGAATCATAAAAACAGATGAATTTTCTCATAAGTATGAGCTAATAGGGTACAAAGAAACATGCTCTTTCCATGCTATTATTCTCTCATTTCCCTAGTGAACGAACTTGGAGCTAACTTCCAAGGTCCTTGGTTCATCACTGGGATATCATCATCATATCATAACCCTGCTAGGGATCTGCCCATGTTATTCTCTCTGCTTGGAATCATCTCTCTTTGACTTTTTAACATGCTTCTCATGAGTCATCTCTTCTAGAAAGCCATCATTTATACCTCCTATCTACATAAGATGCTCCTCTTCTTGGCTCCTACAGGATTCTTTGTATCTCCTTGATATAGTACAACTCACACTCTATACAATGATTTTTCCCTCTTTTTCTATGGTAATAGTCTTGGTCTTGCTATCCACATTGCCTAGCACAGTGCTTGATGTATAGTAAGGGTTCAGTAGATGGGTACTGAATGAATGAACATATTGACAGGCATTTATTAAACCAATACTGGTTGCCAATAAACTCTGCTCACCTTATAAGAGATATAAAGATACATAGAAAATGGACCTTGCCTCAAAGAGTTTTACATCTAGTTGGAGACAGAATTCATAAATATGTGTAAATGTATAGCAAATGTAAAATCCCCAATGAGTAGCAAAGACATGAAGTACTACAAGAGTCCAAAGGAAAGAGACTGATGTTGCTTAGGGAAGTCAGAGAAGAATCTGGCTATCATTCAAATGTGTTTAAAGTTAGAATATACCGAGAAAGGTAATGACAAACAGTTTTTTCTTAACCTTGTATTCTGAGTCCATTAACGCTCTGTGGGATAAGACATCTATTCGGAAGCTTTCAATGATCACCATTATCAAATTGATTCTCAAATCAACATGGAACTGATTTTTCAGGAAGAGGAAGTAGATAAGCAAAGAATATTCTAAGAAAAAATTCTAATGGAGGAGAGTATGATTATAAAGCCTGGGAAGTCAATTGTTCTAAGCCTTCTCTTGAGACATGGAGAAATGATCTCCCTGAATGATCTCGTAGAATAAAAAGAACAGACAGCCCTCTGTTTCACAAAGTTCCTGTGACAGATACTCTGGTGTCTGAAAGTCAGACCACATTTGATTCTGACTTTACATGTATTAGAGGGGAATGCCACGGCATCTTGGAGGCTAAAAATTAACCAAACCAAGAATGGTTGTGTGAAGATGATTCCGAGTCTCACATCTTCCGAGCCAGGATGGTCCCTGGACTCCTGGGATCACCCAAAGGTCAGTGGTCACAAGCTGAGCCATTGAAGCATTTGATACCACAGAAGACAATGGCCATTTGCATGCTCTAGATACTCCACTGCAACAACTTCTATAACAAAACTTGGTTTAACATTAAAGACTTGCTGGAGTGATGTATCTCCTCCAAAAACATAAAGACATAAAAAACAATACCTAAAAAAAAAATACCTACTTTGTCTTGAAATCTGGTCCTATAAAATAAGCTGCTATTTTAGTGGCCCATATTTATATATTTTAAAATAATAATTAACAAACCCTTTCCAGGAAACAAGGTCCCACTCTTTCTGGAGCATCAACGCAATCTTCCAGACTGTTCAAGAAAATGCTGTGAAAATTTCAAAGAAAAAAAATAATTTTATGTGAAATATAAGCCATTGGTCAATAGCCATTTAAATAATATGATGAAAAAGAAAATTCAATTCAGTAATTACATACTTGTTATGGAATTCATATATTTCTGCCATATTTCCAAAGAGAATATCTTTTTTATTTCTCAGAAGAGGTGGCATAAGATCAAACATCTCAGGATTATCCATCTCGGCTCTATAGCCCTACCCAAAAGAAATACATTTATTCATTAAAAAAAATATTCACATTAACATTTGTTTGGGCCACCAAAGTACAGATACAGCAGAATGTATAGGGGATGAGTGGGTAAAGCTGTTGGTAACTTTAACAATCAAATCTTCCAGTACCCAAAGTTATCCATTTTTTTATATTTTATTTTTTTATTTTTAGAAAGCAAGACAAGGGAATCATGGTTTCCCACTCAACAGATAGAATAAAAGTGATTCTCTGGCCTTAGGGATAGCTTATAATGTAGGGAAACAAAATAGAAACCAAGCATGAAAAATTATATTACAGGTCATTAACCTCTCCTTAAACTGGCAATAAGTGTTTAGGTTTTTCAGACCAAATTAATATTTTGACCTTTGTATCAAATGAATGTTTTTCTCCTACTTTTAGCTCTTTACATCACAATCTCTAAATAGCACCCTGGGAATAATTATAACAATCTGCTGGATCTGGATCTCTAAGAAAACAGCTTATCTCTTCTATAACAAAATCTGAGTTCCACAATTCTCACTACTCCAGGAGAACCTGAATTTGCACATTTCACACGCATGCAGCCTCAAACAATGGGAGAAATATCGCTGCTGGCTTGTGACAATCAAGGAAAAAGGTAGAAAGAGAAGACTCAAGATCTCCTAATAAATGTAACAGGAGAAAACATTTGGGCCAAGATGGGAAAATATATTTTGAGTCACTTACCAACAAAACAGTAAACAGCTCACGAACATACACCCTCTCTGTCTGTATCAGCTCATTCAGGACATGGCTAAAGTGAAAAGGCAATATTTAAATCAGTTATTTTTTGCTTTAAAATTGTATTGTGACCTTTCAATCATTCTCATTATAAATAGTCTAAGGCAAAAATTGTTAATGCGTAGGAACTACCAATGGTTTTGGTTTTATCATCAAAATACAAAATTAATTATATGGTTTCTAGAATAAGTACCACCCACAAGACTCTTTAAAATACATTTAGAAGAAAAGAAAAGGGCTCAGGACTTATTTTTAAATAAAAAAGCAACCCACTTTATTTCTATCTGACTAAGCTTAAGAATCAATTTACTGGGTGCCTGGGTGGCTCAGTGTGTTAAGCATCTGCCTTTGGCTCAGGTCATGATCCTGGGGTCCTGGGATCGAGCCCCACATCGGGCTGTCCTGTTCAGTGGGGAGTCTGCTTCTCCCTCCTCCTCTGCCCCCTGCTCCAGCCCCCAGCTCGTGCTTGCACTCTCAAAGAAATTTTTTGAAAATATTTTTAAAAAAAGAATCAATTTACTAAAAACTCAAAAGTGTATTCTTAAAAGTTTGGTAAAATTTTTTTGTAGGTCAGTGGGGGAGAGCACAGTTTCTCTAGCTCTCTCTCTCTCAAAAAAAATAATGATATTAACATCTTAGGCCCAATTTTCCCTTTTTCCAGTAATGTTCTGAAATTTTCCAAGACATGAAATGGATTTATTATACTGGTTTCCCTAAATATAGCTCATACCTATACTCCTGTAGTAATTACTTTATGGTCTCTTTAAAATAAAATACATTACCTTCCAATGTGATTTCCAATTGACATCATATTTAAAATTCATCTCCTCACTCTCCAATATGGGTAACCCATTTAATTTAATGTCTACCTTTACCCTTCTTTTATTTTTACATTTTTAGGCATTAACATTATTTATTTGAATATCTATCTCCATACAACTCTAGGATATAAAATTTTAAAGGTGAATATTCTTGGGACGTCTAAGGGGCTCAGTTGGTGAAGTATCCAATTCTTGGTTTCAGCTCAGGTCATGATCTCAGGGTCCTGGGATCAAGCCCTGCCTCAGGTTTCGTGCTCAACAGGGAGTTTGCTTCTCCCACTTCCTCTACCCCTCCCCTCGTTCATTCTCTATCTCTCAAATAATTTTTTTTTAGTTTGTGGGGTTTTTTTTGTTGTTGTTCTTACCATTGAGTTGTAAGAGTTCTTTTTAAAAATTTATTTATTTATTTACTTACTTATTTACTTCTTTATTTGACAGAGAGAGAGGGAGAAAGCAAGCAAGCAAGCGGGGGAAGGGGCAGAGGGAATCTCAAGTAGAATCTCAAACAGACTCCATGCTGAGCACAGAGCCGGATGCGAGGGTAGATCTCACAACCTTGAGATCATGACCTGAGCCAAAATCGTGAGTCACTTAACTGAGCCACCCAGGCGCCCCAAATAAAATCTTTAAAAAAAAAGATGAAGATTCTTATGTCTAGAATAGAAACATAATTTTATAAAAGCAAACAAAACAATGATTACTGTTAACATCTATAAAATAACATTGGATGTCAACCCTTGTAGTTTTTGAAACACTGTCTCATTCACTTTTACAAAAGAGGAAATGAAGATTCTGGAAAACTCTAGTTAATTTTCAAGTCACACAAACAAAGCATAGGTTAGCCAGGCCTAATTCCAGGACTTCTAACACCTCATCTAGTGCTCTTTTCATCCCACCTAACAGAACCCCATTTTGTGATTTCAAAATACAAGCACATTCGCCTTTAACACTGAATCAGAGATTCCTACTGGTAGACGTGTATATGAGTGTATGTCAATAAAGAAAAATACTTCTGTAAAACATCCAAGCTATTGTCATTGTCCAAACTGGAGGATTGACCAGAACTTCTCTTCTCCCGACAATCATGCACCACTTCAATCTGAAATGATGAAAATAAAAGTTGAATTAGCATCTATGTAGGTATAGTTCTTCTTGAAGGAAATCTATTTCAAATTAAGTTTTCTCTAGGTCCTGTGTAGATAACTTGAAAAATAACACTAGAATTATTTTTTTTAGAAATACCTTTGATATGTACTCATAAAAAATTATTTGAGTTGCCAAAGAGGACAGATTTAAGGTACTAATTCAAATTTATTTTACGCTTGGGTGACTCAGTCAGTTAAGCATCTGACTCTTGATCTTGGTTCAGATCATGATCTCAGGGTCATGAGATGGAGCCCCAAGTTGTGCTCCACACTAGGCTGGAGTCTGCTTAAGATTCTCTCTCTCCCTCTCCTTCTGCCTCTCCCACCACACCCCACCACCACCCCACCACCCCTGCTTTAGAGCACACTCTAAGAAAAAAAAAGAATTTATTTTACATATTAAGTAATTTCTCATTTATTTGGAATTTGGGGGGAGTGAGGTTAATTTATAAAAAGTTTAATTTCTAGATAACTAAAGCTTATTCATTTAAGAAAAAAAACCCAGCTTTTTAACCTTAATGATTTTTAATGGAAATTTTCTAGGAAATATTACATGATTCCTTGAGTTCTCTAACCAAGGCTACACAACATCATTGACCCTCTTTCTAATGATTCAGTGGTATCATCAGGAACATGAATGATGTGATAAAATCTAATAACTTGTAGGTAATAGTCTATTCTTTCTTAAAATGGCTGTAACCTATTGATGTCTGTCTCTGCTCTCTGCCACATGTTGGCTTTTGCTAGAAGTGACTTCCTAGATCCTAACCCACCATCTTATTTTTTTATTATTATTTTTTTTATTTTGAAGACTCTACAGGAGTTGGACTGGCCTATTGAGTCAGCTACATGAGATCCGTGATGGTTATTTGTTCTTCAGAAGCCTTAGAAGTATCTTCCAGGGATCCTGGCTGTATTGGACTTTGGAGACTGCAAAATGCCTGAACTCCAAGTAAATGTAGCATTACTATGTAGAGCCCAAAATGAAGTACAGGATCTGTCAGCTAAAAAGCATTTCCACAAAACATCACAAACACATCATGTGGAAAGGCACAAACATTAATTGACTACTTCCTATATATTATGCAGGCACAGTTATAGGTACTTAACACGGATCATAGTATCCAACCTTCCCAGCAATTTAGCAAGCTATGGCATACTTATCCTCACTTTATATATGGGAAATCAGAGGCTCAGAGAAGTTTAGCAACTGGGCCAAGGTCACATACCTAATAAGTGATGAAACACAGTCAAGCTCATGGTGGCCACCATTATGCTCCCTCCTTAAGAATATGTTTTGATTTGCTCTATCTGAATGTACCAACTGTTATCATTTTAATACTATAACGCAGGTTGATAATGCTGCATAGTTTTCCACTCATCAGATAAGTATGCATCATTTACTCCTAGCAAGTTTCTGGAATACAAGTTTGGAAAGTTTCGAAACATAAATATTTATGTTTAAATGCCTAAGGATTGTGCAAATTGACTTGAATTGGAAGAATGTGTGCATTTTGGAACTGGGTTCACCAGCTAGAAATCTCCCCAAGAAAATGTACAGAGCCACAGCCTATTTTTCTCCTGGGATATGCAAATGGAATAAATCCACGTAGAGGAATGTTAAGGTGTCATGAGTGGAAACTGGAACCGAAAGACCTGTTAAGACTATGGATAGGACACTTGGGTGGCTCAGTGGTTGGGTGCTTGCCTTTGGCTCAGGGCATGGTCCTGTGGGTCCTGGATCGAGTCCTGCATCCGGTTCCCTATGAGGAGCCTGCTTCTCCCTCTGCCTGTATCTCTGCCTCTCTCTCTGTGTCTCTCATGAATAAATAAATAAACTCTAAAAAAAAAGACTATGGAATTTGGTACTCAGCCTATTTCCTTCTTGAAAACAGAAGTTGTAGCTGGACAACATGATAACCAGGCATGATATATATCAGTATAGGCCACTCACTAGCCTGCCAATCATGATATACAACACTTAGAATGCCACCATATGCCCCGCTTTATTTGAAAATGTTTCCCAAATATAATTTTATTATTATCCTAACTCTATGATGAGGGTGTTCTGTTATTATCCTCATTTTGTAGATAAGGAAATGGAGTTCGAGAGAACTTACCCAAGGTTATATGCCCAGTAACTGACGGAGTTGGGATTAAAAGCCAGGTAGTCTCTACAGTTGCTCAACAATCTCTATCACTGCTATACTACCTCTTGGATATCTACCTTTTTGTCCTTAGTTACCATCAAGAAGACACAAGGAAAATGTAGGGCCCTACAGCTGTGATGAGGCTACTCTGCAGATATCAGAATATCATGGAAAACTGAGAAGGAGACTGGTATCTCTCAAGAAACTAATAGATGTCTTTTTTGAGCCCAGAGTATGGACCATTAGAACCTGTCCTTCGTCCATGTTTCATACTTGCAGGAATGTAATCAATTATGAAAGAAATCTTTTGTAGAAAGGTGCAATACTTATTTAAGTTTATTGAGGTGGGGTGGGGGGAAGAGAAGCTGGGACGTATAGATGTTTTAGAGAAATTAATTCTGAACTTGAGCCAAGACTTAAGAAACTGCTCATGCACCTGGGGATATGCCATCACTGCAATTAGACCCTGTGCAGCAGAAGCTTTTTCTTTTAGATTAAATAGACTTTCGAACACACAATGTTGGTTTAGTGGATTAAAAATATGGTTGAGGCCTCCATACCAATTGCAACTACAGCAATAAACTCAATCTTGAATTAATTAATGGTATTTACTTTTAAGTTGCTCTGATTTTGTCTCCAAGTCTTCTTTCCTAGTAGAAAAATATGAAAGAGGAATTTCAAACCAGAATTAAAATCAACACTTTTAATTAAAACGCATGCATGTTTATTAAATAGATTGCTATGAATATTCTAACATATTTATATTAGTATTTTTAAATCACACCATACAAAACAGTTGAGTGGTTAGTTTCATCTATATGATTTCAACTTCTTATTGAGCATCATTTTGCCATGTATTCACCCATTCTCTGACTCATCAAACATCCACTTGATTGCCAAGCAAGCATGAAGGTTAAGTGTTAGTATTCATAATTATTTGTAGATTTAGTATTCATTTTGACACATAAGCATTTAATCAGATTGTAGCTCACAGACTAACTATATCAAAAAGAGTTCTAAAAAATCTGAATTTAACTAATAATTAGAGCATCTAACATTTATTTGGCACCTACTACATGCCAGACAGCTCTAAGCCCTACACATCCATTTTGGTTTTTCATCCTCAAATCAACATTAACACATAAGTACTATTTCCATTCCCATTTTATAGATAAGTAAGTAAGGTTAGTATCTTGTCCAAGAAGCAGAGGCAGTGTTCAAATCTGCGTAGTCTACTGTCAGAATATGTGCTTATAACAACTATATAAAACAATTCTGAGGCATATTAAAATGCTAAAAACAAAACAACTTCATCAGAATTCCAAGCTTCAATTTTTCTGTTCTTCCTGTTTAATCTCTCCTTTTCTTTTTTTTTAACATGTTGAAAGTGAAGTTACCTGTCTTTTTTTTTTAAGTTTATTTGTTTGTTTTTAGTAATCTCTACATCCAATGGGGGGCTCAAGCTTACAACCCGATATCAAGAATTGTAGGCTCTTCTGACTGACCCAGCCAGGCACCCCTCCTTTTCTTAAGGAAATTCTTAAGATTAAACAATATCTTTTCTGTTCTGTTTACAATGGGTGAGCCCCTATATTATTAAGGAAGGAGTCGAATGTCCCTACAAACCCCAGGGCATGGTCCAGTGTAAGACTAGGTCATTCACATTCCTTATTTTCAGAGTTGCTAAAAAGGCTGCCACTCACACAGGCTGCACGGGTCTCATCTCTCTATGCAAGAAATACACTTTTTGCCCTTTCCTCCTTGGCAGGAACTGCTGCAAGGCACAGTCAAGGAAAGGCTATGCTGTTATGTGCTCTAAATTTTATACTTCACTTTAATTATTTAAAAATATATTTTAGGGTTGCCCAGATGGTTCGGTCAGTTAAGCATCTGCCTTCAGCTCAGATCATAATCCTGGGGTTCTGGGATCAAGCCTGGTGTCAGGCTCCCTGCTCAGTGGGAAGGCTGTTTCTCCCTCTCCCTCTGCCCTCTCCCCTGCTTGTGCGCTCTCTCTCTCTCTCTCTCTCTCTCTCTCTCTGTCAAATCAATCAATAAAATCTTTTAATATGTATATTTTAGGGGCCCTTGGCTCGCTCATCAGAAGAGCATGCAACTCTTGATCTTGTCAGGCCCCACGTTGGGTGTAGAGATTACTTAAATAAATAAACTTTAAAAAACTTTTTTAAAAGACTGAAAATAAAAATATATTTCACAGGGGCTCACGCTGGCCCAGTTAGTAGCATATGCAACTCTTGATCTAAGAGTCATGAGTTCAAGCCCCATGCTGGGTGTGGAGCCTACTTAAAATACATACATACACATATATGTATGTATTTTAAGTACCGAATATAGCATAATGTATAGAGATATTGAATCACTACGTTGTACATCTGAAACTAAAGTAACCTTGTGTGTCAACTACACTCAAATTTTAAAATTTTTAAAAATATTTTATATCCAAATTTTATGTTATAAATCATATGTGTAAATATATAAGTTAGACTTAGTGGCATTTACCACATAAAATCAATTTCTCACTAAAAACTGATGTTCACCACTTTAAAGACACCTGATACACAGAGCTCCAAACTTATTTATAAAGGTAACTGAGGGAGCCTTACTAATTAGCTTTACTCATTAATTATTTGCAACTCTATTAAGAGCTGAAAAAGGAACATATACACAACTCATGAGGAACGCAGCTTTTTCTGAAAAGCAAGGTAGAGAAATTCATTCTTTGAATGACATAAAGAGATATCTACAATTACGGAGCACCTGTACTATATGCGAAGCTCTGTGTTTGGTGCTGGGACAAAAACATGAACTGCACACAGTCCCTGTCCTAGTGGAGTTTACAGTCTACCAAAAGAGATGGCTTGTTACCACACAGCATGATCACTCAACCAAAAGGGGCGCCCAGGAGGGGGCAAGGTGGGCGAGCTTACCTGAAGCAGGTAGACTAGGGACAGGAAATGTGATGGAGGAAAAGAAGCCAGCAGAGGGGAGAGGGAGAGGGAAGGGAATAGTGTCCCAGAGAGAGATCGGTATGGTAAAGTCCAACAGGTAAGATGAGGCATTTGAAACAGAAAAGTAGGGAACCGGGGAGACAGCTGCAGTTGTCAAGGCAACAGGTGACATTAGCCTGGATGAAGGTAGTGGCAGCGAGCAGCAGCGGTGAGGATGGAAAGAGGTGGATTCTATGACTGATTAAGGAGGGGGGGGGGCATTTGTGCAAAGGGGAAGCCAGTGTCCCAGGCGGGGATGAGCGGGGGGCATGACAGTACTATTCACTGGGATAAGGAACCCAGGAGGAGTTTGCAGGAGAGGCTATCAGGTGGGGGTACGTGTGCAGTCTGCACTGCAGTAGGAAATTCAAGGCCGCAGATGGTAAACGCAGGTCTGAAGCTTATGAGAAAGATGCAGACTAGAGCTAGTTTTGAGAGCTCAAACTACACTTTACCCCCCACAATGTTCTTCGCTAACTTCCCTCTGTAGTAAATATTACTTCGGGTGTTAAGTGGCCAACTCTTGATGTTGGCTCAGGTCCTGATCTCAGGATAGTGAGATGGAGCCCCGAGGGGGGTTAGGGTTCTGTGCTCAGCGTGGAGTCTGTTTGAGATTCTTTCCCTCGGCCCCTCCCTCTGCTCCCCCCTCTGGTCGCACCCCACCTCTCAAAAACAAAATAAAATCTTTTTTAAATATATTAATTCAACAAATATTTACTGTTTCCTGCTAGTTGCCAGACACTGTGCTAGGTACAGGATTCTGTTTGATGTAAATTAATAAAAATAAACAAACAAAAACAAACGAAACCAGTTTGACTTATTGTAATGAAGATTAACACAATCTGATTTGACCAAATCTTATATATTTGGCCTAGCAATTAAAAGTCTTAAAGAACTATTTAGAGCTGATTGTTATAATCCCCATTACTCACAGAACAATGGGGTAAAATAAACAATGCAGCATAAATGATGCTTTGATTTAATTTAGAAATGATGCTTTTAATTTAACTTATATAAATGATGGGTAAAATCATTTATCCATCCACATCATTTATTCAGTCAGCTGCCTTCTTCCACATAAATACATTAGGCCATCTTAAATTGAAGAAAATTCAAGCTACTCCCAACAAGTAGTTGTGTGTGGATGACACAAGAGTCTCTAAAATGAAAGAAAGCTTCATTTTTAACATTGCGAATTGTTTTTCTTGGTTTCTTTTTATGAGTGGTCATTTGAGGAGATTGAGTTTAGAAGCATAAGCTACTTTTCACTAGCTTGTCATTTTCCAAGGTAAGTTTAACGATGAGAGAATATGATGATTGTTATGAAAAAAAGGGAGAAAGTTAATTATAGGCAAAATTCAAGAATGAATTGCTGCTGCTTTTTGGATGTCAAACTGGTTTTTCACATGTACACAAACTCAGAAAATGTACCGAGGAAAAGTAATAAAGATGGGTACCTCTGGAAAAAAGTTTACATGCTTGAAAGAAAGAGTTTCCAACTCCCACTGCAGAAAAAAAAGTGTAATGCCATTAAAGAAGAATATCAGAAAGGAAAAAATAAAACAAAATGTACTTCTCGTGATTAATGCCTTCAGAGGAGCTGAGCTTTTAGAGGACTACAGACCAAGAAACCTTAGTCAGATGGGTGGTCTAGTTTATGCAATACTTCTTATACTTAATAAGTTTTTTTTTTCTTTTGGTCTTCACAGCAACACTTTCAAGTCAGTAGGCATAGTTATTCTTATTTGACAAACAAGGAAACTAGGCTAAAAGAGGTTAAGTGAACCGCCCCAGCTCACACAGCCAATAAACAGAGCCAAACATCTAACTGAGGTCTGTCTGCTGCTAAGGAATAGAAACCTATCCTGTTTTTATTCTCAGAGCTGTTGGTTTGTATTCCCTTATTGGTTTGGGGGGTTTGTTTTATTCTTTTGCCCGGTATCTTCTTGGTCAATATTCTCCACTTAGGGCACTGTTCATAGTTTTACTTGTGAGTCTATTTTTATTTAAATAAATGTTAGCTACCTAATGTTTAGTGTCCCAGCTTAGTGACATGCTTTCGTCACCTCGTTTTCGTAACCCAGGCTGGGCCTGACTGAGGTTTTTATGCTCCTTATGCTTGGTTCAAGCTTTCTCTGAATTTCAAAGCACTTCCCACACATTAATGAAGTCTCTGATCCTCTCAGATCAGATAGACCAAATGCGTCCCAGGTCCACTCGCTCAACTAACTTAGTGCCCCAGAGGCCAAATTAATCTCCCCTAAGAGGCCCAGGCCCCAGACACAGCTCAAGGGCAACTTTGGGCAATAGAATCATCTTACTTCCAGATTAGTTCACCACCACATGCAGGAGAGTTATTTTATCCTACAGAATGTAGAATGGAAATGGATATCACATGGTTAAGGCAGGTCTACAGAGATTAAAACAAAATAAGTGGATTCTAACAGTTAATTACTAGCAAAATTATTCTGTTGACCCACACTTACTTAGAAAAGGCAATCCATTCTATTATCTAAGCCACTCACTTACTAGAAGCGAATAAGAACCAAATAATAATTTATCCACGTAAGTTATAAATATGTGTGTGCATATGCACGCATGTGCCCATGTGTACCAAATTCATACACTTTTCTCCACCTGCAGAAGAAAGGGGTGGGTTTGATGCTTGTAAAATGTTCACACTCATTGCATGGTTCACAGTCTTCAGTCCAGATTTTCTTCATTCTCTACTACACTATATTACTACTATGTTTTACTATTGTATGATAATCTGGACCGTGACTCATGCCTCGTTTAACAGTTTAAACGGGACCAAAGATGCTTAAAGATGCTAAAGACTGAAGAATGCATTAGGTATTTACATCAAGAGGAATGATCAACAGCAGGAAAAGAAGACTTTTAAAAAGTGGATGTAAGATACTTTACCATGTTTAGGTGAAAACAGTGATGTTCTAGATCTGATCAAATTGTCGGAAGCAGGCACCACAAACTGGACTGGCTTCACGTGCTTATCCGTCAGGTTCCTGAAACCAGCTTGTTGGTTCTCAAATACACTTCGGATGTGCTCCAGCTTGAGTTGTACGGTCTGCATTTGAACCTGCGGATTGCATGAGACTCCTGAGAAATATTTTCTGAATTGGGGTCATGGCAAATCTTATTACATTTCTCAGACTCGGACGGTCAAAAAAAGTAATTTAGAGCTTAACGTATAACTAGAAAACATTAGGAAAGCAACAGAAAACAGATTAATGCGCTATCTTCCCACAGTCATAAACCCAGATCTCAACCCAAACAGCTTGAAGAAATTCCTCAAGTGGTCATGAAATAGGTCACTGTATAAAGTGCTTTATTTACCTTGCATGGCTGGAAGGCATAACGGCTGGAAAAGAAGGCATGTTTAGCACAAGAAAGTCACCAGTTAAGCCCCATTACAGATGTTTGTTACGTGTTAGCCTGCAGGACACTCTATCTTTCTGTGTCGTAAAAAGCTCCTCCTAGACCCTCCTAGATGATTTGAGGCAGTTAGAGGTTAGCTTGGTTGCTTCCAGAGAAATCACTTAGTTACTGCTCTGGCCACGTTTCTGATTTTCTGGGGCATCCCCTAAGATCTGCAGCTAAGCATGGTTTTAGATGCTGTTCCAAACTTAAGAGTCAACTACACATTTTGGCAACAAATAGCATCACAAAAGCTCTTAACTACAATGTGGGGAGAGTGCTTCATGACATCTCCAACACGGTGGAACTGAACTGACCCGCAGATCTCTCTACCTTGTTAATACCAATGTCTGCTTGCACCCCTCCCCCAAGAAGCCTGAAATCATTTCTTTATCCCTTCATTCTCAAACTGAGTAGGAAAGCCAGATCTGTGTCCACACAGCATCTGTTGGTTGTAACTGCAGCAGGAAGACAAGACATTTGGAGTAGAACGCTCTTGACACAGGCCCAGTATTCTCCTAGAATAGCTTTAGCCCTTTCTCTAAGGATGCGCAAAACAATGTATGTGAGATCTCCTAGTATGTTGAAAAGAGTTGAAAAATAATGGAGTCTCAGCTCAAAAAGAACTTATTCTTCATTATGTAGCAAGCATAAAGCCTTGGGGGGGAAAAAGCCTTGGGGTGCTTTTTTTAAAAGTCTATCTATTTAGTCATTTTTAAGTAATCTACACCCAATGTGGGGCTTAAACCAGTAACCTTGACATCAAGAGGCACATGCTCTACCAACCGAAGCAGCCAGGCGCTCCAAGCCTTTGGATTCTTGGATGCTTCACAGGGGTACTAATATCACCCCTCATCCTTAAGAGAAGCATGTAACTGCAATTTGACATAAAGTTAGCTGTGAAGTAGTAATACTCTTGCCAACACTACTGGAATTACGGTTTTAAAAATATATTCATTTGAAAAAAAACAGCCTCTTACCTTGAGTTCAGGAGATAAAATTACATCAAATTCATACTGTAGGGTATCAGGATCATAATTTATAAATGGCAAAGCCATTTCAAGAAAATTTTCAATGTCTCGGAGGGCTTTCTGAGCATCTTCTTTAGACTTAAACTTATCTATTTCCTGATTAGCTAGAAGGCATTCTCCTTCATCACAGCACTGACGAGCCTGATGAGCAAATCACACACACACACACACACACACACACACATACACAAAACCATGAATGAATAAATAGAAATATGTTTGTCCTTTTAGGAGTGTTTACCAGCCCTGGCTTCTGTGAATCAGAGTTGTTTTCAGAGTTGTTAAAAATAAAGATATCTGGGTTCTGCCCCCAGAAATTCTGATTCAGTAGCTCTGGGCCTTAAGCCAGGCATTTAGATTTCTGCAGAGCTCCACAGGTATTTCTGATGCACAGCCAAGGTTGGGAAGCACTGTATTTATTTCATAACAAGGAATTCATTCTGCAGTAAAGAGTCTGACCGTACTCGCAACACTAACACTTCAGCTGCATGCTATTTTCCAAAAAATCAATAAGTGAAATATGAAAACGCCTCACAAAACACAAAGTGTAATATAAATGCATAGTGATTGCCAAGGACAAGGATAAAAGTTTCCTTGCCAAAGAAGGAGATGAACTGATTAAAATGTTCATGTTCAGATACAATGTCTATAAATGATATCCTCATTTTACATTCCACTTCCAAGGCCAGATCTCCCCTTCGCTGCCTAATTCTGAAAGGGGCCAGATCTACAAGCCACGGAGGAGTATCTTCCAGTCACTGTTTAATTTCTTATTGCGGTAACTATGAAATGTGGAAGGAGTTCTGGCTTTAGCAAAATGCCTCTAGGGCTTTGAAAGGTGCTCTGACTGCAAACTATCACCAGAGGAGAGGATTCAGGGATGTGCCCAAAATAGAAAGGAAGCCATCACAACTGTGATCTCAATATTCAGAAAAGAAGCCAGAATGCTTACAATACTAGACTTGCCATGGATACTGCAAAGGTACCCGGACTAAATAAACATCATCAAAGTCAATGCTTCAACGTCTTACAAATTTAATTCCAAAGCTATCCCAGGCAGATCTTTATCCTATAACCTGTAAAAAAAAAAATTATCTTCCTATTCAGAAATGTACCAGGTCTCATGACACTACCTGCTGCAGGAGTTTATGCATTTTGAAGATCCTGCTGAGCTGTATCCTTTTGGCTTTGATCTCATTAACCAAAATATCAGAAAGGTAACGTAGCTCATTGCACCTCTGGCAGATCAAATCAAGTGCGTAATGGTGATTTGCAGCAAGTCTGTGTCCATGTAATATCACAAACCGGGCCTTTGCTAACAGATCCTAATTGTGAGAAAGAAGTAAAACAAGAACCGTATGATATCTGTTCAGAGAGAGGAGGGGAAACAAGAAAGCGATTGAGAAGCAAATTGGTTTAGCGAGGCAGAGAGAATGCCAAAAATATGATTTGATGTCATACTTGTGCAGGCCGTAAGAAAGTTTACAGTTACAGTCATTAGCTAGAGCAGTGACGCCACGTATTCCTGGTAACAGAAAAAGAAAATTAACCGGCCTGCTCAGAGTGTGGATGAGGTTGGCTTCTCCTGGTAGGTCCAGATTGAGAACAGAACTGCATATATCCAAAGAGGAACACGGGAGACAAATGAAAACTCATGGGTTTCCTACCATCTCAGCTTTGGAAATGTCATGAGTCATCATCTACCTGGCTGCTCTACATACATGAAGGGGTCTCCGAGTCAAAGGTGATCTCAGCGGCCTTGCCTCCATTCTATCAACTACTGGCATCCCCCCCTCCACCCTGGTCCCCCACTTGCTTCCCGACGCAGTGCCTGAAGCAGTAGGTGGTCAGAAAATATCTGTGGAAGTAAAATAAGAAAATCTAAAGCCCATAATGATGAAGTGGCCAGCCTGCCTGGCTGGAGGGAAACCCAGAGTTAAAGTGGGGAATTTTCATTGTTTGGTTTTTGTTTTTTTACATTTATCCTGCCATGAATTCATAAAGACTGGGTTCCAGGAGCTCAGGCTCCTTTCCTTTGGTTCTCACAAAGTGTGCTTTTCTGGGTGGGCAGGCTGGCACTTCAGTTGAACCCAAGTCTCTTTCTCTTTAGCTTCCTTCTTTAAAAAAAAAAAGATTTTATTTATTTATTCATGAGACACACAGAGAGAGAGGTAGAGACACAGGCCAAGGGAGAAACAGGCTCCCTGCAAGGAGCCCAATGTGGGACTTGATCTCGGGACCCCTGGATCACGACCTGAGCCAAAGGCAGACACTCAACCACTGAGCCACCCAGGAGTCCCAGGGAGTTACATTTTTAAAATAGGTATAGTTTCAGATTTGCAAAATGAAAAAGTTCTGGCAATCTATTGCACAACAATATGACTATAGTTGACACTACTGAAATGTACACTTAAAAATGGTTAAGATGGGGGATGCCTGGGTGGATCAGTCCATTACACGTCCAACTCTTGGTTTTGACTCAGGTCATGATCTCAGGGTTGTGAGATCCAGCCCCGCATGGGGCTCTGTGCTGAGTGTTGGAGCCTGCTTGAGATATTCTCTCTCTCTCCCTCTGCCCCTTGCTCCAGCTCCCTTTCACTTTCATTCTCCTCAAAAAAAAGATTTCTTTTGAATGGTTAAGATGATAAATTTCATGTTATGTGGGGGTTTTTTTGCCACAATTAAACAAAACAAAAATAGCAAACAAAAACCTCCAAGCTTCCTTGTTTCCAAGCCAGTTTGCCTTCTCTTTCTACTATGCCACAGAGGTTTATAAACTGCCCCCAAATCATCACCACAACTGCTGCCTCTCACATATTGTTTTTATTTTTTAAAAAGGTTTTATTTTTATTTATTTGAGAGAGAGAGCATGAGCAGAGTGGAGAGGCAGAGGGAGAGGAAGAAGCAGACTCTCCGCTGAGCAGGGAGCCAGACATGAGGCTCGATCCCAGGAACCTGAGATCCTGACCAGAGCCAAAGGCAGAAGCTTAACCAACTAAGTCACCCAGGCTAGGCTCCTTTCCCTCAAATTTTGTTTTTAGATGGTTACAGTATTCTCATAAATCTGTTTGCTGGGAATGCACCTTAAAAAAACAATGGCCTTGTTCTCACATACAAGACAGAAGAGAAAAGGTGGTTTGTTAACTATTAAAGCCATGAGTCCAAGCCTTTAAGACCAGCAAAATGAAAATTGTTGGCTGTTTTGATTACTTATATAATCAGATATCCCAGGTACTGTGCTAAGTGTTTAACCTACAACATCTAAAAGAATCCTCATAATCATTCTGCAAAGTAAGTCACTCCATCCCCAATTTAGAGATAAAGACATTGAGGCTTAGAAAATTTATTCAATATACCCCAAGATCACACAGCTAAGTAAGACTAAGCAGATTTATCTATCTGAATCTATGTTTGGTTCAACTGTACAGCCACATGATAGATATTTAAGGAATTATGCTCTTGTATATTTCCGTAATTTCCAAGTACCAAATAGCATTTTTTAAAGATTGTATTTATTTATTTGAGAGAGAGAGAGAGAGCACGAGCAGGGGGGACAAAGGGAGAGGGAGACAAGCAGATTCCTTGCTGAGCAAGGAGCCTGATGTAGGGCTCAATCTCAGGACTCTAAAATCATGACTTGAGCCAAAGTCAAATGCTTAACCAACTGAGTCATCGAGTGACCCCCAAATGGCATTTTTGATAGACATTTTTCTAGCTTCTTCAAAAGGATTTATGCCATTGTTCCTAATGGTGGGCCTGAAACCACATCATGATCTCTGAGGCTACCTATTATAACCACATGCCACATCTGCAGTGTCACTTCTGGCCCACATTGATCAGAAAAGAATACAGGCCAGTATTAATAGACGAATTATACAGACTATTGCTATGAAAGGTGGATCATAAGGGTTGATACTACTGAAAACCATTAAGATGTAACTATGAGAATAAAGAACATCTGAGATGTAATCTTACCTGAGAATTTTCATCTAAGTTTTCCAACTTTTTTATTTTTTGTTTTACTTGTCCTATGTTCCCTGTTATATCCGCCAATTCCGCTTGTTGGTTTAACATAAATTGGACTTCACTCACAAGCTATGAATAGGAAAAAAAAAAAAACACAAGTCTTAAAAGCATATATATGTCACCATGAGATACAGATCACATCAGTGAAATTCCAGTCCAAGACAAACAACAATACTGATTAGAGGCAACAATGATTTGAAGAAACAATATAACTACAGGACAAGAATTCAGTATGGGTACAAATTAACATATAAGTACAGGCACAATGTTCAGGAAGAGTGTTATTTTTGCATGTATGCATTGGGGAGGAGGGAAAGACAAATATCTGGAAGGGCCAAGAGCAACTCGGCCTATTCTTTCTTTAAGGAAGATCTCACAGAGAGCATCACATTTCAAAATCTGTTTGAATCACAGGACAGAAAGAGTTGGCAGTCCCTGAGCCCCGTGTCCAGAGCAAATGAAACACCAAGCAAGTAAGGAAGTCATGGGTGGAAAACAAGCTGGCCACATGCAAGAGAAAAAAGTAGTGAGTTTCCCTTGGACCTGGTAAAGGACTATGAAAGAGACTGCAGGGAGCTTGACCATGTGTGAGTTATTTCCCAGAAGCATCCAACTAGAAGGTACTTTTTTAAATCTTGAAAATGATGTATAATTAAACATGATTTCACTTCATGTATCAGGCTTTTCATAGAAATAAATTACTAGATCAGAAAAGAAATGTTTTTGTTAGATCGTATTAACTATGGTCAGTATAGGTATATGGTATTTGAAAAAAAATCAAGAAGGAAGAGGGTATTATTTCCTTGGAAAGCTAACCCATAGTCTGAAAGCATTTTATATGTAAAATAAATTACAATAATAAACATCAGGGTGAATGGCAACTTAGTCCTAACTTATATGTTAGCACTTAAGTGCTTTCTCATAGGAAATTAGTAAGCAAGAAAGACATCTTGGGAAGGTGAGTGGGGGGATGGGGTAACTGGGTGATGGGCATTAAGGAGGGCACGTGATGGAATGAGTACTGGGTGCTATATGCAATTGATGAATCACTAAATTCTACCCTTGAAACTAACCATATACAGTATGTTAATGAAATTGGATCTAAATAAAAAAATTTTAAAAAGTCATCTTGGCAGGGTTCACTCACATTGGCCCCCTTTTCATTTATAAATGGGCACCTCGTGAGACTCTATTTCTGGTGATCAAGGAGTAAGAACCTCTGGCATAAAGAAAAAAAATATAGAAAGGAATGTTTTAACTGACCTCTTGAAAATCCTGCTCAAACTTCCATAGTTGCAAATACTGCTCCATTTTTAGTTGGTGTTTTTCCCAAAATCCATCAAAAGCTATCTCCATATCATGTACTTGAGTCAGCAATCTTAACAAAGAAAAATCGTTAGAATTCCTTCACAACAACGATTTGTTTTGTAAGTTTGTACATAAACCTGGTCTGGACATTAAGACTTATAGGCCAAAAAAAAAAAAAAAAAGACTTATAGGCAAAGTCAGAGGCCATGACACGTGGTCCATGAAGAGACCGTAGATATCCACGGAAGTTCTTTTACAAACAAGCTAATCTGTGACACAAGTAGGGAATGTGGTCTCAGATTCCCAGAAGTCCCGGAATATTTTCCACGCTTAACTGACTGCAGCAAAATGCATAATTCCCTTTCAAAAGTATAAAATAAATAACTCTAAAGAAAAAGGAGAATACTCACTTATTAACAGTTTGCCAGTCACCATTTATTTGGTGGTGGTGTTCAAGCCTTGAACTGGCAGCGTCTTCAATGCCAGGCACTTCCAGACTTGTGAGGAGGATTTTTCCTTCTTTGGTTACAGCTGTAATGTCATTCTATAAAAAGGCACAATGGGATGAATTAGCCTGCTACTACCCTAATCTGAGTGACCTAAAGAGAAGGAAGCATACACCCACAACATGCAGAAGAGAAACAGCAGTTCTAGAACGTCCTTGACTAAGTACATCAGTACCACAGAACCCAAAACCCATGAGGATCTCCAAGAAGCCTCTGCCTGTTGAGGTAGATGTTGCAACCACTATTTTTATAAGGTCTTTATAGGCAGAAGTACCTCATGCTCTATCTGTAGTCTCCTTCTCTTACTGATAGAAAGTTCTAATTTATTCTATTCTAATATTTTTTAATGTGCTCCAATCAAGCAGTAGTAGCATAATAAAAAACCATACAGTTAAAATAATATTTAGTGCCTTTTCAGATATACTCAGATGTCTTTCCTACTAATTCTTAATTAATTGTTACCAATCACTGCCTGCCATGAGGATTATGTTATTTCATGTTTGGATTAATGAATTCGTCATGAAGCATATGTTTCTTTCTATTCAGAAGGTCTTAACCTTGGTGGGTAGATTCTTCAGGCATCTAAGAGTGATCTATGACTTCCTTCAGGAGATCCAAGGGTCCTCTGAAATGTTAAGCAAAAAATTCAGGTGTACATGTATTTGTCTGGGAATGGGTTCCAAGACACCACCACCGATATGAATGAGAACACAGGCGTTAAGAGCGAATGTTTATGAAGTACCAACTACATGCCAAACACTGTTGTAGAGACATCACATACTCCATTTCATCCTCACAGTGACCCTACAAGGTATGAATGTATCATCATCAACCTCACTGTGCATGTAAGGTAACTCCAACTCAGAGAGAGAGTAAGCTAGTTCTCCAATCATATAGCTCAGGAGGGACAGAGCTTTCTTTCCTGGAACAGTTTCACTTTTGGATTATGATTCCAAATATCAGTTTCTGTCCTCTTCTTTCATTGAAAATGTCACCTCAAAAAAAAAAACTAAAAAATGTCACCTCTACATAGAGCTTGTGTCTGTGAGTGCCCCCCACAAGCCTATCATCATGTGAAGGACATGGATTATTATTTTTTAAGATTTTATTTATTTATTTGAGAGAGAGAGCATGAGAGAGAGCGAGCACGAGCAGGGGGGGGTGGCAGAGAGAGAGGGAGAAGCAGACTCCCCGCTGAGCAGGGAGCCCAATGTGGGGCTTGAACCCAGGGCCCCAGGATCATGACCTAAACTGAAGGCAGAGGCTTAAGAGACTAAGCCACCCAGGTGCCCCTGAAGGACATGAATTATTATACAGGGTTGCCTGGTGCTTCTTTAGATCCTTCTTTCTTCTTTCTTCCTTCTTCCTTCCTCCTTCCTCCTTCCTTCTTCTTTCTTCTTCTTCTTCTTCTTCTTCTTCTTCTTCTTCTTCTTCTTCTTTCTTCTTCTTCTTCTTCAGGTCATTCTTAAGCTTTCTGGGGAAGGTGAATCCCAAAGTACTTGGTGATTGTCTGAAGTGTGACTCAGAATCCTTCACAAGCCAACACTCCAGACCTAGGGGCAGGAGGGCAAAACCAACTTGCCAACTAAGGTCTACTGTACAAAACATCAAAAACTAGTACTCTGGCTGGTGCCTGGCTGGCTCAGTTGGCAAATTGTGCAACTCTTGGTCTTGGAGTCATTGAGTTCTCTCTAGCTTTCCAAATGAGAAGGCCTTCTGAGAAGATGAAGAATATGCGATGACAACGAGGACTATGGATTTCTTCTTAGGCACTCACAAACTATTCTATCAGCAAGGAAAGAACTTTTCAAGATAACGTACCATTTGCAAAGAGGGCATTTACTTCCAACATGTCCAGGACATCCTCCCCTTTTGTCTCCCTACCCACCAAGCAGTGTGAAATGAACAAGCACTGAACTAACCTCTCTAGAAAAACAAAGGCCATGGATGACTTTTCTGTGTTGACTCTATCAGACGTACCTTTAACATGTGATACCTTTCAGCACGAACGGCAAGAATTTCTTCTATTGAAGGAATATCATCTGGTAGTTCTGTCTCAGCCAGTTCAGTTCCAAAGGACTGTAACATCTGAGCCATTTCTTTCACTGTGAGAGCAAAATTTTCTATAGCCTGCAAAGAGCCAGTGATCCTTTTAGTTCCATGGAAACTGCCAGTACACCAATACCTGGATCAGTAATTGGATTTACTTTTATTTAGCTTTGACAACACACATATACTATGACCTCTCTTCTGCTAAGGAAAGTTGGCATTGCTCTTGGCCATCAACTCTAATTTTGCACCTAAGCCTCTATGAAACGAATGTGAGGTGAAGAGTCTTCTTGAATGTCTTTTATCCAAACTTCTGTACTTATTTCTTGAACATCCTTGAAAATGATTTTTTTAAGTTTATTTATTTTTTCTAGTAATCTCTACAGCCAAGGTGGGGCTTGAACTCATGACCCTGAGATCAAGAGTTGCAGGCTCCTTCAACTAAGCCAGCCAGGCCCCTGAAAACAATTTCTTAAAGATGTCATGTACTGAGAAATTTGTTTTCTGCCTCTGTTTACACCTATCCCATTAAACTCTGCAACTATAAAACTTTATACTAACTTTATACTAACTTTACTTCTGAAGAGGTGACAACATGGAACCCACTCAACATTCCTTTATTATAGCTTATGAGCAAGCATTAGCACTCCAAACACAGCAATGGACAAAGGTGATGGAGCAACATAACTAGTCACAACAATTCATTCAGGCAGAAGATTGAGACTCTGTTGCCCTCAAATGGCAAGTAAGGTTGTGCTGTTGATTGTTTCCAAAATCAATTACTCAAAAAAAATGGGGGGGGCAACATGTAGAGACCATATAACTCCTATGTGTACCATGTAGCTCAAGGTTATCTGCTCTTTTATTTACAGTTTCATAAGTTACTGAAGGCTAGACACCACTAATTTTGACAATACACTTTCATGTGAGTGAACAGAACTGCTGAATGACAAATAAAAATGAGGAAAATAGAATCCTGATTTAATTAAATATCATTTCATTCAGAAGCGTTCCCTAATCTCCGGGATTTGGAATAAAGATTCTTATACCATAAATTCACACCTTGAGGCACGGGACCCTTGCCTGTTTGTAAATTTCTAGAACAGAAGAAATCTCTGCTACAAATCTAACTGCCTCAGAAGCATCACTAGAATGAGATTCATAATAGCACTTGCATTTTTTGAGGGCTTCTGATCTCATTTAATCTTCTAAATATCCCTGTGAGCTCAAGTACTATTGTTTCCACTTTACAGTTGGGAAAACTGAGTCAGGAAGGTTAGGTAACTTGTATAAGGTTAGACAGCCAAAAATCAGCAGTGCTAAGATCTAAACCCAAACTCTTTGTTTCTTGGAGTTACTAGATGGCCACGGGAGGGGGTGGGCAGAGCATGGTCTCCTTACTTCCTAGGCCTCTCCTTCAATTGTCATTCTCTGTGATTCATCATCAGTTCTAGATATTTCCTATGAAAGAAAGTCAAGATGTTGAATTATATGTGCTTGAAACCTAGGAGCCCCAGAAATCTGTTTTTCCCAAAGAGGAAAAAAATTCTAGAACTAGATTTAAAGGCTAATATGAACTATATAGGCTCTACAGTAAGGGCAAAAGCAACATACATTTCTGAAGATGATCCATTCACTGTGGCAGTACTGCAAGGTGCCGCCTAACTCAGGGGTTAATTGCTTGTCATCAATGTATGTCAGCAAATCACTAACTGAGCTCAGCATAACCACCTATATAAATAAGCAAGAAAGATACTGTTAACTGCCCTTCATGGCACCCCTCCATTCAACTGTACAGTGAACTTTAGCATTCATTAGCACAAAGTAGCTCTTATAAATGGTTCTAACAATTCTCTCCTGTACATCCCCCCACACACACACGTATGCACTACCTCCTTTAAGTAATAACAGTTTTCATTTACAAAACATTTCTCTCCAAAGCAAAATTAATCTACATAGAAACCCAAATACCTAAAGCTCCTTGATCTAACATTTTGCACTATTAATGGTCAACCTTCTGAAAGAAGAATGTTATGCCTACACCAAACAAGAGCGCTTTATGTAGTAAGCTATAACTTTGGGGGAGGGAATGATCTTTGCAAAAGCATCAGAATTTCTGAGGACTCTCTTCTTAACCCTAAAAATGCATAAAAATAGCTTTTTAAAAGAAGGTCACGGTACTATGAACTAGTTCAGGATGTAAGTTCATGGGAGTCAAACACATAAAACACACACTCCATTTTTTTTCTAAAAATAAAATGTCCAGATTTTGTACACACACACACATATAACATATGCCATATGTCTCTTTTTCAAAATGAATTGCTTATTACAAACTGATGAGACTATTCCTTTCTTTTAACAACAGAAGCAGAAGACTTTCAGGCATTTCAAGCTTTTAGTCTGGGAAGACAAATTCTTTTTCTTTTAAATGCTTTGTGAGCACAGGTAAAACATCAACAGCGTGGTACAAAGCCTTCATGAAAATTAAAGAGATAAAACGTTTAAATAATATATTCTTACTGGTAATTTGAGCATGAAGTCTTCCTGGCTAAATCGAAATCCAATATCTGTGAAAGTTCGTTGAAGAAAACTGGTAGGACGCAGAACCAAAACTAGGTGCAAGTTCCCAGGAAAGGAAACCTACAGAAAAAAGCAACACAGGAAAGAAAGGAAAAATTGTCAAAACGTGCACTCAACTGAGCATGTAGGCAAAAAATATGTAAAGGAAACTCTGAAAGTAATAAAGGCCACCAAAGGGACAAAACTTTAAAAATGGGTATTGATACAATCTAAAAACATGGAAACAGAAATAAAACTAATGTAAGGTCATCAGATCAGACCCTTGCGACGTCCATGGCATGGCATTTTCTCACACGAAAGTAATTCCTGAGTTACAAAGAATTCTAATTCTTAAGCTTCATTTTAAAGTTAGTCATTTGCACTGGAATTGCACTTATTCCCTAGGAAACAGAATTAGGAGGCAGGCTCCTAGGATAACTCTAAAAGCCAAATGAAGCTTCAACATTGCATGCTTGTACTAAACAAAGGAAGAAACCTGTGCTGTGGAATCATATTTTTATTTTCATCCAAGCAACGTTCACGGAGTTACCGTCTACTTGTTCACTCCATGTGTTTAAGTGCATGATTATCATGCACTGTTAGCATTCGGTGTACCCAGATTAATAAGATGTAGTCCCTACCCAGCTTGCAAGAAAGTAACAGCGTAATAGGGCAATCCATTCGTATCATTAACTCTATAGCCCAAGTTGATCAGTGAAGCAAAGGAATTAGAATAGTATGCAACAGGAAGTGGGAGTACAGAGCATCCTACACCTAGGAAGGTTGAAATGGTCTCTTCGAAGCATAAAAAGGAATTAATAGCATTAGGATTTCATTCTGGTGCACCAATGTTTCCCCAGTTTCTAGAATACTGACATGCAGTAGGTGGTCAAGAAATAATTGCTAAACGACGAGGAGAGCGCTATGCAAAATTAGTGAGACATAAGAAGTATGGCCCAATATTAATAATAAACCACCACATATCAAATGTGTACTGTGTCCAGTATTTTGCCAACATAATCATAGTTCCTCTTCATAATAATCCTATGAAGCAATTAGGCTACCCTCTTTTACAAAAAAAAAAAAAAAAGTAAGGCTCAGAGAGTTTAAGTATGATTTGCCCCAGCTGGTGAAGTCTTAATCTGCACCTGGGGTCTGTGTTCTTACTCAATGTACACTACCCCCATCTCTTCCAGGCATCACAGTCAGGAAAGGTAGAGGAAAATGAAGCTGGGGAGTGTAGAAATGAGACGTGGTGCTAGAAAGATGGGCAGGAACCAGATCAGGAAAGTCCTTGGGTTTTTCCATGGAGGCAAGGAGAAGACTCTAAGAGGCTTTAGGCAGCAGAGCAATATAATCAGATCTGCGTTTTAGAAGGATCACTTTGGTTCTAGGAAAGGACTGGATTTGGACAAGAGTGGAGACAGATGAGTTAGGAAGCTGGTACAGTAATCCAGACCAGGGAAGAAGAGTTTCTGAACTGCAGGAAAAGCTGCAGCTATGAGGGTAGGATTTAGGAGGTGCAATGTGCAAGATATGATGATATAATATGTCTGGTAAGAAAGGAGAGGCTGGACCAGTCGCTCGAGTAGCTGGGTGCATGGCACGACCCTTGCTGACAAGGGGAACATGGGAGAGGCAGGTTTTTTTTTAATTTATTAAATTTTTTTTAGTAATCTCTACAACCCAACATGGGGCTCAAACTCATGACCCTGAGATAGAGTCGCATGCTCTTCAAACTGAGCCAGCCAGGCGCCCCAAGAGAAGCAGGTATTATGGAGGGTGGTAAGATTCCCCATTCCTGGACCCATTGGGCTGGAAGGGTCAGCAGGAGATCCAGATGATGTCCATCAGACAGATGTGTGTACGAGTCCAGAGGGAAACAAGTCTGGCCTGGAAATGTTGGGTTGGAAGTCATCAGCCCCCCAACAGCCGACTAAAACATAACAAAGACAAACATGACAAGAATGCTTAAAATAAAGCCACTGTTCAGGCATGCTAGACTACCAATAATGGAACAAAACTATAAAAGAAAAATTAATAAGATACAGTGGAGATGGGATATAAGGGAACTCTGCACTTTCTGTGCTCAATTTAGCAAAGAAAATCCACTCTAAAAAAAAATCTATTGGGGCGCCTGGGTGGCTCAGTCAGTTAAGCGTCTGCCTTCGGGTCGGGTCATGATACTAGGGTCCTGGGGTCGGGCCCCACATTGAGCCCCACATCGGGCCCCCTGCTCAGCAGGGAGTCTGCCTCTCCCTGTGCCTCTGCCCCTCCCCCTGCTTGTGCTCTCTCTGTTTCTCTCGAATAAATAAAATCTCTTTTAAAAAAAGTTCATTGACAAAAAGTAACTCTCATTTAGGTATAAAACCTAGATTCTCAGGAAAAACACATTTAAAGCTGGGGGTGGGGGTCGCCTGGGTGGCTCAGTCAGTTAAGCCTCCAACTCTTGATTTCAGCTCAGGTCATGATCTCAGGGTCTTGGGATGGAGCCCCGTGTTGGGCTCTGTACTCAGTGAGGAGTCGCTTCTCTCCTTCTTCCTTTCTCTCTGCTCCTCTTCCTGCTCTCTCTCTAAAATAAATCTTTTTCTAAAATGGGGATTTTTTTTTCTCTCTAAAAAAACGTCAGGAGGGGGAGTGCCTGGGTGACTCAGTTGAATCAAGCCTCTGACTCTTAATTTCAAATCATGATCATGGTCATGATCTGAGGGTCGTGAGATCAAGCCTCGAGTAGGGCTCTGCACTGGGCGTGAAGCCTACTTAAGATCCTCTCTCCCCCCTCTGCCCCCACTCTCCACTTGCTCACGCTTTCTCTCAGAAGTAAATAAATCAATTAAAACAAAACCAGATATTTTTTAAGATTTTATTTATTTATTCATGAGAGACAGAGAGAGAGAGAGGCAGAGACACAGGCAGAGGGAGAAGCAGGCTCCATGCAGAGAGCCCGATGTGGGACTAGATCCTGGGACTCCAGGATCACGCCCTGGGCCAAAGGCAGCCGCTCAACCGCTGAGCCACCCAGGGATCCCCCAAAACTGGAGATTTTTAAAATTCAGTTTGAAGGGGGCACCTGGGTGGCACAGTTAGTTAAGGGACCAATTCTCAATTTCAGCTCAGGTCATGATCTCAGGGTCATGGAATCAAGCCCTTCACCGGGCTCCACACACACATAGTCTGCTTGGGATTCTCTCTCCTTCTCCCTCTGCCCCTCCTATTTGTTCTCTCTCTCTAAAATAAATAATTTAAAAAATCAATCTGGGGTGGCTCGGTTGGTTAAGTATCTGTCTTCAGCTCAGGTCATGATCCCACGGTCCTGGGATCGAGCCCTACATTGGGCTCCCTGCTCAGCAGGGAGTCTGCTTCTCCCGTGCCCTCTGTCCCTCCCCTCGTTCATGTTCTCACACTCTCTCTCTCAAATTAACAAATAAAACCTTTCTAATATTTTTCAATTAAAAAAAGATTCAATTCGATGGGTGCCTGGCTGGCTCAGGCTCTTTAAAATCAGTTTGAGATGGTAATAAAACATCAACAGCTAAGTGGCAATGAGAACCAGAGCAGGAAAAAGGACTGAGTGGGAGACTCACAAATAGGTGAAAGAAAAGAGGTTAAATTTAAATCACTAAATTAATCAATGATTGTAAATAGACACAAATGAGGATGGGATGCCCTCATAAAAGAGACCCCAGAGAGATCCCTCACCCCCTCTGCCATGTGAAGACACAGAGAAAAGACAGCTGTATATGAACCAGGAAGCAGGCTCTCACCAGACACCAAATCTGCCAGCACCCTGATCTTGGACTCCCGGCTTCTAGAACTGTGAGAAATAAGTATCTGTTGTTTAGAAGCTAGGCTGTGGTACTGTTATCGCGGCACAAACAGAGATAGACTCTTGTTAGTGTTAAGATTGGTTCCAAATGCGTGATCCTGGAGACCCGGGATCGAGTCCCACGTCGGGCTCCCTGCATGGGGCCTGCTTCTCCCTCTGCCTGTGTCTCTGCTTCTCTGTGTGTGTGTGTGTGTGTGTGTCATGAATAAATGAATAAAATCTTAAAAAAAAAAGATTGGTTCCAAATGAGAACTGTTATCTTTCTACATGACCTCGCCCTCCCAACACACAGTGATGAGTAGTGGGATGAAAATCTGATGCGAGTAGGACCAAAGTCCTGCCCTGGGATTTTTCAGACTAGTGCTGATGGATGGAAACTTTGAGGGTGCACTTCCAGAGCTACTGGCAGCCGTGACCCCTGCTGCTGGAGGAAGCTCATCTCAAAGAACAAACCCAACATGGATAGAGTCCTGGAAGTAGAGACAGAGAGTCCCTCTTCTATATAACTAATGTGGATCTTATTTTATGTTGAACATGAGATATACATACTATAGTTACTGTATGAATGAAAATAATGAATATAAAGACATTCTGTAAATTCTAAAAAAAAATAAGACAGTTTTTAAATTTTACCTTGGATTCTTGGATCTAAAGGCAAGTGGGTTTAGGTAGAAAACCTTTGGGATGTCGATAAAGGCTTGCTTGGGGGAGACTCTGACCGAGACTTGTAAGAACCCTGGACGTATTTTTAGATTGAGAGCATAGATTCTATTTCTACCCCATTCACTTGAGGAGTTAACCTTTCCTTCTTCTTCCAACAGGTAAATTCCCAGAATCATTATTATACTTACCTGCCTTGACCCAGCTTGCCTTTTCACTTTTTTTCCCTCTTCAATGAAATTGAAAGTACCCTACCTTCGCCGACACTTCAAGGAAAATTTGTTTTATTCTTTCATAGACTCTAGGTTGACCTGGTCTCATCATCTCTTTCTCTGTGATTTTCCTTAACGTCCTATTCTCTGGTATCGTATAGGAAATCTCTAGATCCAAGGCCTAGGGCTGATCAACTTAAAGCCTGGAATATTCACCCACCTCCCAAATTGTCAGGGGGTACAGAGCAAAAAGCAGGGGGAGGATACTATTAAAACAGAGAAGGCCATGTGGCAACTCTCTGCCTGAGGTAGGGTTCTGGTCTCTAGCCTGCCATTCCTAGAAGAGCTAGGTTGTCCCAGCAGCGAGATCCAAGGACAACTGG